CTCACGGCAGCCCAGCTCCAGGTTGAGCTGTTGTTCAGCATCTTAGCTGTGGAGGGCAGTGTCACTGGCCCTCATATGTGGGATCTGAACAGGGGCCCTCTGGCGTCCCAAGTCAGCTCTTAACCAACGAGCCACTCGGCCGGCCCAAATTTATTTCTACTTTACTGCTTTTGATTATTATATATGGGATAGATTTCTTGCTTTTTCAGAAAATTCTGTTAACGTATAGAAACACTACTGATTTTTGTATATTAATTTTGTATCCTGCAACTTTACTGAATTCATTGATTAGATCTAACAGTTTTTTTGTTCTTGTTGTTTACTATATATAAAATCATATCATTTGAAAACAGAGACAATTTTACTCCTTCCTTTCCAATTCTGATATCGCTTATTTCTTTATCTTGCCTAATTGCTCCAGCTAGAACTTCTAGTACTATGCCGAACAGGAATGATGAGAGTGGGCACACTTGTCCCTGATCTTAGAGAAAGCTTTCAACCTTTATTCCTGATCTTAGAGAAAAAGCTTTCAACCTTTCACCACTGAGTTAGCTGGGGGCTTGTCCTTATAATCTTTATGTTGAGATATGTGCTTTCTATGCCAAATTTGCTAAGTGTTCTCTTATTATGAATGAATGTTGAATTTTGTCAAATGCCTTTTCTGTGGCTATTGAGATAATTATATGATTGTTTTCTTTCATTCTATGAATGTGATGTATCACATTGATTTGCACTGTGTTGAACCATCCTTGCATCCCAGGAGAAAGAGTCCTACTTGAGCATGGTGAATGATCCTTTTAATGTGCTGCCGAATTTTGTTTGCTAGCATTTTATTGAAAATGTGTGCATCTATTTATCTGGGATATTGGCCTCTAGTTTTCTATTAGTGTCTTTTTCTGGTTTTGCCTGTCAGTAAAATGCTGGCCACATAAAATGAGTTTGGGAGTATTCCCTCCTCTTCAATGTTTTGAAAGAGTCTGAGATGGGTTGGTTTTAATTCTTCTTTAAATGTTTGGTAAAATCACCAATGAAGCCATCTCATCCTGGGCATTTCTTCTTTGGGAAACTTTTGATTACTGATTCAATCTCCTCATTAGTAACTGATCTATTCAGAATTTCTATTCCTTCCTGGTTCAATCTTAGTAAGTTAAGTTGTACGTTTCTAAGGATTTTTGTACTTCTTCTAGGTTGTCCAGTTTGTTGGCATATAGTTGTTCATGGCAGCCACTTATGATCCTTTGCGTTTCCATGGTATCAGTTATAATGTCTCCTTTTTCATTTATAATTTTGTTGATTTGGGTCCTTTCTCTTTTTTTCTTGGTTAGTCTAGCTAAGGGTTCGTCAATTTTATTTATCTTTAACAAAGAACCAACTATTAGTTTGGTTAATCTTTTCTGTTGTTTTGAATTTATTTCATTTATTTCTGCTCTAATCTTTATTATTTCCTTTCTTCTGCTAACTTTGGGCTTAATTTGTTCTTCTTTTTCTAGTTCCTTAAGGTATAGAGTTAAGTTGTTCATCTGGGATATTTTTTTGTTTTATAATGGAGGTGTTTATTGCTATACATTTCCCTCTTAGAACTGCTTTTGCTGTATCCCACAAGTTCTGGTATGTTGTGTTTCCGTTTTCGTTTATCTCAAGAAACTCTTTTACTTCCCCTTTAATTTCTTCTTTGATCCATTTGTTGTTCAGGAGAGTGTTGTTTAATTTCCATGTGTTTGTGAATTTTCCAGGTTTCCTCTTCTTACTGATTTCTAGTTTCATGCTACTGTGGTCAGAGGAGACACTTGGTATGGTTTCAATCTTCTTGAATTTGCTGAGATTTGTTTAGTGGCCTAATACATGGTCTACTCTAGAAAATATTCTACATATGTTAGAGTATGTATTGTGCTGTTGTTGGATAGAATGTTCTGTATATGTCTGTTAGGTCTATGGTACTGTTCAAGTTTGCTGTTTGCTCATTGATTCTCTGGATGATTCTTTCATTGTTGAGAGTGGGGTATTAAAGTACCCAACTATTATTGTACTACTGTTTATTTTTCCTTTTAGCTCTGTTAGTTTCTGCTTTATATATTTAAGTGCTCCAATGTTGCATATATAAATACAGAGGGTGCCAAAAAAAAATGTATACACATTTTAAGAAAGGAAAACTATAAAAATTGTAATACTCAATATATACCAATAACAAAAGATGAATACAAGTCACGTTTAACTTCTTCAATTACAAGAGGTGCTCAATGTGGCCACCATCAGCATTCAGACACTTCTGATACGGCGAACTACTGCTTGAGCAACAAAGACCTAAGCGTCCACTTGTATACATTTTTCTAGCACCCTCGTTATTTACACTTACTATATCATCTTGATGTACTGACTTCTTTATCATTATATAATGATCTTCTTTGTCTCCCTTTTACTATGTTTAGCTTAAACTTTATTTTGTGTGATATAAATAAAGCTTTATTATAAACTTTATTTTGTGTGATATAAAAAAAAAGCTGTTAAAATGGTAATTTCACTGATCTTGCTAATGTCTCTAAGCAACTGAAGCCCTGTGCTAAAAAACAAATGGCTGGGGATGATTCTGCAAAGAAACAGACACAAAGGCATGGATTTTTATAAATGCATAAATTATTTCTCTTGGAGTGCCAGACTCCAGATCCACTAATGTTTCATCCAGCATCAGTTTAAATAGGCTAAGTGAATTTGCATTAATCTCCCTTGGAATGAATAAATCATTCATGAAACTCCATATGCAATTCAAAAACACAGTGGAAGCCATAAAAGAGCAAAGACCTAATTTCCTCAGCATGTAGGAGATGACTGTGGACATATTTGCAGTGCTAGTGTTAGCAAGTCTAATAATTTGATCTGAATGATGGTGCAATATATTTTATAAGTAGCATTCTACATAAAATAAACAGTCTGTCTTGGAAAAATCTGACATAAACGCATTATATCTTAATGAAGAAATCAAAATTATAGATCAATCACTTCACAACGCACAAAGCAAGGAGTAGACCTGCCTCATATGTTAAATACCCTATAAGTAATTTAGGCAAAAGATAACCCCCCAAAATTCCATAGTATATCTCATTTCAACCACATTCATTACACCCAATAGATTTGGTGTATTTTAAACTAGCTCTCAATGCAAAAAAAATGTATTATCTTTAAAGTACCTCCTTAAAACACTTCCAACTGTTTCCTAAGCAATATTGAAGTTTTTGCAAAACCAATTCCAACAACAATTCTTAATGTATTACTCATCCAAATTGATTCAGTATTATCGACTATCCACTAGCAGCAGTGAAATTCCTCTTTGGTAAAACATTCTTTAGCTTTGGATTAAGAATGGTGATCTCCAACCTTAAGCATACCTGGTATAAACAGTGGCACACACTTCGAAGCTGAGGGGGGAATTCTGAGGAGGAACTGATGATAGCATGGAAGAACTTTTCAGTCATCTGAAGAAGGTTCCGCTGGTTTTCCTCAAGGCTCTCTGACTGTTCTAACCTACAAAAAAGAAAAAGGTAAAAATCAATGAAAAACAAACTAACATACTCAAGAGACATTCAGCCAAATACAATGTTTGGGCTTTGCATCATTCTGATTTGAACAAACCAACTATAAAAAAGGCAATTTTGAAAACTGTGTATAAAAACTTATAGTGTCATAAATTTAGTATAAGATTTTTAATTTTTTTTTTTTTTTTGCCAATCTAATAGGTAAGAGAGGGCATCTCATGTGTTTAACTTTTAGCTCCATGACTTCTGGTAAAGTCAGACATACTTTCATGTATTTTGTAGCTATTCATGCTTCCTCTTATTTTTAACTGCCTTTCATGTCCAGTCTATTTCTAGCTGCTACGTGTCTCTCCCACCAGTACCTAAAACTTAGTTTGCCCAAAATTAACTGATTTTTCCTCCTATGCTAAGGTCTTATTCTGTGCTCCCCATGTTGCCAATAGTACCATCACTGTCTCAGTCACCTCATTCTGGCAACCTCTGATGTCACCATTGCCTGCTGCACTCCATTACTTGCCACATCCAATCAGGTTGCTAATTCTTCAGTTTAATCTCTAAAATCTTGGTGTTGTGATTAAAGGCAGAAATACGGAGGCAGACTTACTAGGTTTAAATGTCAGCTCTATTATTACTGATCATTACGGCCTTGGTCAAGACACTTCACTTCTCTGGGCCTCAATGGTTTTCATCAATAAGACAAGAATAATAATCCTGCCTCCTTTGTGGGGTATAAATTTCACCCAATGGGTACCAAATCCACAAAGTTTTACTCAAGCTCCCCAATTAGCATAATCTGAATTCTCCAAACACATCCCCTAAGAAACTCACTACGTAACTACTTATTATGTGTCTTATCTCCCCTACTAAACTGTAAACTCCCTGAGGGAAGAAAGTTCTCATCTTTGTCCACTTAAAACTAGCACAGTACCTTACCAAGCAAATACTGAGTAAATACTTGTTTTCAATGTCTTAACTAGTAATATTGATTCCTATACTAATTTACATGTTACATAAATGCATGGACATTTAAGTCATCATTCTGGATTCCTTGCAGCTCAAGGAATGTGTAGTGTAGCATATGGATGCAGTAAGAGTTCAGAAATTACTGTAGATACAAGGCAGGAAAGATTCCATGGGACAAGTGAGTTCCAAAGGCGGGATAGAATTTGGATAGGCAAAGAGAAGTAAGGTTATTTCAGAAAGAGGAGATACGCAGGGCAGGTACGCAGGGCAGGTGCTCAGTTTAGTCCATGTGACATTCTTAGTGCCAGGAGCAGAGGATTCAAAATTGGCCTGTGACTTTTCGAAGACGGGAAAGACATGCACATACTAGATAATGAGTCCAATAATTCAAGGATAAAGGCACAATAGCAAACCCAAGCTAGACATGATTCATTCACAGGGCTGGTGGTTGCTGGGGAGCCAGAGGCAGAAAATGAACTTGCAATATGCGGGGAACTGAAAAGATACTGGTCTACATATAGAGACTATATGCAGGGAGATCAGTTAATAAGCTACCATAGTCATTTAATTCTGAGATATGGAGGGCATAGCATATTTGTGGTATGAAAGATGAACAATTTATTTAACAAGGCAAGCAGAAATTCCTAGAAACCTTGACAGTTCTTGCCTACTTAGTGGGAACTTTTTCTTTATGAGTCAACATAGCAGCAGGTATGCTGCAGTCTGATTCAGGGTCCCTCTAAAACAATACTTTCCAGCCACTGTACTCTCATCTCTCACATGCCAGTGATGACTTGTTGGCTTTTCCATTAATTCTGATCTATAAAGAAGCTTTGTATATAATTATTTAACTGCTTGTGTGTATAAAACGTTTCCCTTTGTTAAATTTTCAAAGAAACAGTTTTTGGCATTTTTAATCCTATTTTTAATTTCATTGATTTCTAATCTCATTTTTATTTCTTTGCTTCTGCTTGCTTTAGGTTAACATTGCTCTTCTCTAGTATTCTAAGGTGAAAGCTTAGATTATTGATTTTTAGATCTTTCTTTTCGCACATATGCATTTAATGCTATAAATTTCCCTCTAAGCACTGCTTTCATCACCTTTCACAAATTTTGATAAGATGTTCTTTCATTTTCACTTATTCTTTTTTTTCTGTGCATTACAGTCTGAGAAATTTCTATCGACATATCTTGAAGTTCACTGATTCTTTCCTCAGTTGTGTCCAGTTTACTGATAAGCCCATCCAAAGGCATTCTTTCTTTCTGTTACAATGTTTTTGATTTCTAGCATTTCCTTTTGATTCTTTCTTAGTGTTTCCATCTTTCTTTTACAATACCCACCTATTCTTGTATGTTGTCCACTTTTTCCACATTAGAGCTATTAACAAATTAACCATAGTTATTTTAAATTCCTATTCTCATAATCCCCAAATCTCTGCCATATCTGAGTCTGGTTCTGACACTTGCTTTGTCTTTCATACTGTGATATTTCTTTTTTTCCTTTTATCATGCTTTGTAATTTTTTTGTTGAAAGTCAGATGCAAGATGCACTGGATAACAGGAACTGAGATAAACAGGTCTTCAGTGTAAGGTCTCAGTGTAAGGTTTACATTAATCTGGCCAGGACTTAGGTTGTGTTCAATGTTTGCTGCAGCTGTGTCAATTTCCTCCAGTGTGTCCTTTTTTTTGGTCTCCATATCCTTGGGTTTCCACAGAAATTTTTTCTTTAGGTTACAGCTCCTTTGGTTGTAATCCGCTGTTAATACAGTGGAGTCCTGTTGATGTGGTATGGTAGTGAGATATTCTTTTATTGGGGTGTGGGCTGTGACCTTCAGAAGAGTTTCCTAGCCATTTTTTTCTTCTCTTATGTGAGACAAGAAGACTAGAGGGGGCTGAAGTTGGCTAAATGTCCATCCTCCAGGTCCGATAAGGCTCTGGTAAAGTAGTTTCCCTTGAAGAAAGGACTTTGTAAGGGAAAACAGAACACCATGATATATTTCAAAATGGTTAACTTTCCTCTTCCCTTGCCCAGAGTACAAGGGGATTTTTCTCGCCTCTTCACCATGAGAACCTGGTAGGGCTTCTACAGATAAGGCTCACAGAAATGTGGGGAATCTCCCTAAGATTGGGCTTCCAAAGGTTTTAACTCTGAAGCTAATCCACACTCAACTTCCAACAATTCATCATTTATGTTCTACATGTCCTACCAGTTATTGGCTCCATCAGCAGTGTGTTCTGGTAAGCTGGGATTCCTTGTATTTGCCTGTCTCTCCCATTTTTGAATGGTGGTCTGCCCTGTGACTTCAATTCTCTGATAGATCTAAGAAGAGCTGGTGATTTTGTTTCCAGCTTTTTCTTGTGAACACGGGAGTGTCAACTTCCAAGCTCTTTACATGTCAGAGTGGACCTCAGTTTGATTTTAAATAACCTGACTATAGTAAATCTTTCATCTAGTTCTCTTATCTGCACCGCAGTACTTAGTGCAGTGGATTTCTTTTAGGCAGGTTAGTTTGTTCTCTAAGTAATTCTTTAACCTTTAAAAGCGAAATTGCTTAATGGTAACAAAATACAAGATGGTATTAAAACAATGTTGCTTTTAAATTTTAAAATGTAACTATTTTGCTATTTTAACAACAATTGGCTAATTAGCACCACACTTCTGATTAGATTTTACAGTTGGTACTTCAGGAAAGGTACAGCCAAAAATATCAACTCATACAAAGTTGCTGGATAAAAATTATTTAGGAAGAGCAACCATCAAGAAGCTCTGGGCTTTAAAATAAAAAAATAAAACAACGTTAAGGTCCTAACTGAAAAACAGACAAGAGACGTAGCTTAGAAAAAGCAAGCATAACATTAATTATTTAAAATTCACTCATTCAACAAATATTTATGAAATGTCAACTATAAGCAAGATACTATGCTACATACTCATAGAAGGATATGAAGATGTACAAAATGTAAAAGAGCCAAGTCTAGAGGGGAAATAAATTCATAAACTGCATCATCACAATTAAGTGTTACAATGATGGTGTAGAACACAGAATAAAAATTATTTCTTTGTTCATGTGTAGTGTGTGTACATGGGCAGCACCTGGTGACAAGTAGAAAGCTTCATAGGGATGGTGGTTTCTAAACTGTACCTTGCATTACCCTTTGGCCTCTTTCCCTTCTCCTAAGTCACTCCTCATTATAGGAAGAGGGGGGAGTTAGAAAAAAAAGAGTGCACCCTCTCCGTTCTATATATATTTGTCAGCAGAGAAGATGTATTCTGGTCTGCTCTCCACTTGTGTGGTACAAAGAAGCCAGCCCCTTTGAGGTAAGTTTTTAGTCATCCAGTTGTGCAAGGGTAATTCAAGGTGAAGTGTTAGGAAGCCTATTTGCCGAAAGGATCTAAAGCTGGATTCTCTAATCATTTATATCATAATATAAAGGTGACACCTGATTCCTGAGTGCTTCCCCTCACCCCACCATTCCCAATCCCTCCTCCCTCTACCCTTTGGTTTTGAACTTGGTCAAGGGAGAGGAAAATTATTTATTAGGCATCTCCAACCCAAAGAACCCCATTTGTCAAGCCACTTAAAATATAATATAATATATATATGTATATATATATATATATGTATATATATCTTGTGTATATTTCATTGGAGCTAATGTACAGAGAATACATGAGAAAATGACAAGAGGTGATAGTGAATTATAGTCAGACAACTCTATCTTATAGTCAATGGGGAACAACTGATGGTTTCTAAGAAGTAAAGTAACAAAAAAATTTAGGTTTCAGAACAATTCCTACAAGAAATAACCTGAAATGAAGAAAAAAAAATGCTGGGGCAATAATTAGGGGGTTACTGCAAAAGTCAATGGGGTCAACTATGAAGTATTACGCAGCAGTTAAAAAGCATGAGATTAATATATTGGGTTGGTGGAAAAGTCATGATGTATTTTTTCTATGTTTTTCATTGGAAAAATGCATCATGACTTTTCCAACAACCCAATATATCATATATATTGATATACATATACATACACATGAAGATCTAAGACACAGGGTTAAATTAAAAAGATTGGGCTGGCTGAGTGGCTCAGTTGGTTAAGAGTTACCTTAAGAGTGCGAGCTCTGAGCAACAGGGCCACCAGTTCAATTTCCACATGGGCCAGTGATGCTGCGCCCAAGTTGAGCTGCCAACAGGTGGCAGGATGGCTCAGCTGGTGAGAGCACGTGCTCCTAACAAGACTGCCTGTTCGATGGTGGGCTACGCCCACCCGCAACTAAGACTGAACTTGGCACCTTGAGCTGAGCTGCCGTGGATGGTTCAGTGGATAGAGCATGTGCTCTTAAAACAAGGCTGCTGGTTCGACTCCCGTATGGGATGGTGCCTATGCCCACCTGCAACTAAGATTGTAACACAGAACCTTGAGCTTAGAGGCCACGAGCTGCTGACGGGAAGCCAGATGGTGACTGGGACCCTCCACAATGAAGACTGAAGAACAACAACTTGGCTGGTCCTTCTCCCCAATTCCCCGACACTGTTCCCCTCCCCCAATTCCCTAATAAAAAAAAAAAAAATTAGGGGCCGGCCGAGTGGCATGTTGGTTAAGAGCTGGCTTGGGATGCCAGAGGGCCCCGGTTCGGATCCCACATATGAGGGCCAGTGACAATGCCCTCTACAGCTAAGATGCTGAACAACAGCTCAACCTGGAGCTGGGCTGCCCATGAGTCGCCGCCGGAGTAGGCTGCAGTCCCTGCTGCAGTGGGTTGCCATGGGCTACCATGTGTAGCCAGCAGCCAGCGTGAGCGGCCGTCCAGAGCTGGCGAAGGATCTGCCTCGCCCGGGAAGAGCGCAATGATGGTGCCAACTTGGGCCAGTGAAGCGACGTCCTCCACAACTAGACTGAAGAACAAAAAGGACAGCAACTTGTCTGTTCCCCTTCCCCCAATTCCCCAGAGCTGTTCCCATCCCCCAATCTCTCAATAAAAATCTTTTAAAAAAAAAATTAAAAAGATTAAGCTGCAAAACCATGTAGACAATATGTTACCATTTATATTAAGCACTCAAATTATAACACACAGTTTCTACAACTAAATATATATGCAAATGTATAGAAAGAACAGAACAGACCAAACTAGTAACAGTATTATATCTCTAGAGGTGGTATTCAAAGACACCTTTAATGATGTTGGTAATTTTTTTTAGAAAAATGTATTTGTGTGTATCTTTCCTAATTAAAGACTAATTTTAAGAATCAAGGGGGGAATTGTGAGGGCAAGGCCCTACCACTGTAGTGGTACCTGACAAAATGGGAGAGCGGGTATAGATGTGAGGAAGACAAACCTGGTAGGATCCACTTCAAAGCTAACATGTTGCCAATCAGAGGACGTGATCACAATTCGCAGTAAAGGATCCAGGAGTTTTTGTAGGTAAGTAGCACCATATACCTAAAGAATATGTAAATGGGAATTTATTATGCTGCATTAAAGAAGACATTCTGTTCTGCACATAATCATTGTTGGACACACCTCCACACAAAAATAGATGAATGGATACAAACCTTGAAACAGAAGGTCATTATTTTACTAGCTAAGCTGTTGCCTCGGAAAAGAGTCTGCATGGAGTCTGCCAATTCTACTTCCTTAGAAAACATGTTCCAGAGCAGTTGGTAGAGTAAATGCCGCGAATCAAACAGAGTCACTAGAACTCGAGCTAGTTCATCCTGAGAACATAACAATTTGTGTTAGTGTGAACAATCTCATTTCTTCTCAAGCAGGAAACTTAAAGACAAATCCAATAAATGACAATCACATGCTAAATGGAGGTAAATGGTGACATTAATTTTTCCCCTGGGATTTATCCATGTACATATGTCTATTAATAGATGACTATTCCTATATACCAACAGTAGCTGTTAATTCTAAGGATTGACTGATGAAAGGTAAGAGAGGCCTAAGGTTTACCAGGAGATAGAAAAAACTCCAGATTCAGCTTAAATCGAATGGCAAAACTGAAAGAGAGTAGAAGCTGAAGATGATGGCAAAGAGTTCAGCTGGATATGCACAGATCATTTTCTCAGAAAATCAGTAAGCAAGAGTTAAGACTTTGGGAACCGCAAGAGCTCTCATCTTGTCTCACATGGTCAGGAAAACTCAGGGAACACTGAACACAGACTAGGCAGAGAAACAACAAAAGTGGAAAGACTACAAGACTGGTAGGAAATCAGGAAAAAGACCTGGGCTGTGCATTCCAAACCAAGAGATTAGCAAGATTCTTGTACAAAGCAGGGTGGGAAGCTAATCCCATCTAGCTCCTGAACGATAACCTTCATGATTTCCCATAGTGAAATATTTTTTGGAATACAGTAATAATACCTTGGTTTGCGAGCATAATTCATTCCGAAACAAACTACTCATATTGCAAGACATCGCTCGTTTACCAAGTTAAAATATATTAGAAATGTTGGCTCGTCTTGCGGAACACTCGCAAACCAAGTCACTCGCAATCCAAGGTTTTACTGTACTTAAGAAAAACGATGCAACAGTACATCACTGTTGCACCACACATTCTGGGCAGAGATTTAGAGAGAAAGGGGGACAAGGTCTCTGCTCTTGTGGGGCTCACATTCTGGTGGAAGGAGACGAAATAATCAAATCAACACAGTAGTTTCACATTGTGAATAAATGTCGCCAAGAAAATACAACAAGGTAATGGGAAAGAATGAATGTGGCTGTGGTTTTGATTGGATGGCCAGAAAAAAAAAATAAGAAAGTGACATCTGAACTGAAACTTGAATGACAAGAAGTTGGCCATTTAGGAGATGAGGGCAGAAGCATTCCAGGTGGCAGAAGTGGCCGCAGCAGTGTAAGCGTGCTCGAGGGTGGAAATAACCCTACCATGTCTGGTGGTCAGTGTGGTTTAAGTCTGGTGAACAAGAAGGAAAATAGCATAAGATGATGTCAGAAATGAGGCAGGGCCCAGACTGGGTAGAGCCTTATAGGCCAGAGTTTGAGTTCTACTTTAAGTATGAGGAACAAGAACCTATAGTTTTTAAACAGAAAGAAATCTACAGGCAACAACAGATGACCTTATTAGTTATAATTTACTGAACTGAAATAATTTGGGGTACAATCTAAACTAAATAGCTTTTTAACATGGAAAGGGACAACCTTTCCCAAATTTTTATCATATATTATTAAGAATGGTATGGTTTTAGAAAAAATTATATTAAGAGGTCAAATAGCCATATTATGTCTTCAGTATTTAAAACAAGCAACACCACAATTTCAAATGCAAATAGAGTGCTTAAGTTAAAAAAAAAAACCTGTGAAACACATTACAGAAAAAAAGAGTTATGAATTGGAGATAGTAAATAGGCACAAGCCTGGAATTCTAGTTCTAGCATTACTAACAAGTAAATATGAGATTTAACTCTAATTATCTCATTTAATATATGAAGGCAGCAGATCAGTGGTTTTAATTTTCTTTTGCTCAGTGTTCAAGTGGAATTTTCAGTGGGACATGTAAAGAGTTTGAGTTTTACTTTAAGAATGAGGAATAAGATCCTCATACTTAAAGTAATAACACTACTGAGGACTAGAAGCTACAACCGCTTCCCCACAGCTGAAAACCACTCAAATAATATCTGAAGTTTCTTCCAGCTCTAAAGTTTTAGCAATTCATTCAATAAGCACTCATTGAACGAATGATTTTTGAACCATCTGCTATGTGCCAGGCACTCTTCCTTCCCACTTACTCAATGAACTTACCCACTGAGAACACGGGACCACGTTAGCCAGAGCCATGGCTATAGGGAGCTCTCCCTGATCGCCCATCATCGTGACCAGCTCCACCAGTCTCTCAAACCGATCTGCCAGCACCGTTTCTGCAAGGGTGTCAAATTCTGTGCCTTGTTGGAGGATTTTTGTCAGAACTTCCATAAATGTAGCTCTTGTCTGGAGATCTTTGTGATAACCTAAACCTGATATGGACAGATAGATGCGAATTTACTAACATGGCCTTGTTGAAGTCATTTTACCAGTCATTTTACATGCCAATTCTCTACGTTTTAAGTTTCTATATGAAGCTCTCACTGTATCTCACCTATAGAGTGCATGAGGCCACTGTCCACGTTAGCATTGAGTAAGTTTGACATTGCAAGGACTGTACAATGCCTCAACGATGCCAGCCTCCGAGACATGCCACGTTTTCTGCCACCTGTTTGTGCATTTTCATCTTCAACTTCACTACAGTCATTCAAAAGGTTCATAAACAATGTGAAATACCTGAGAAATGAAAAGACTGACCTTTACACAGTGAAGACCATACCAACCAGAAAGCTAATCAGACACTCTGAAATCATCACACGTGCATCACATGAGTGGTCCTGGTATCTGCTTCTCCCCAGTCTCGGGGTAATCAGCCAGCGTGGCCCATTATGAAGCGTGCTGTGAATATGATTTTATCCTGACAAAGCCCAGTACATATTTCATAACACAAACACCACATAGATGCACTGTTTCCTGGTAAACGCAACACTGTTAATATTTAGCATATAAAATTAGTGGTCCAAATAGGTGATCTGGGTTATATTGCCAATAAAAATTCACTGATCAGATTATTTTCTTTAAGAATCAGTTGTTTTCCTAAACTCACTCCTGTCATAGGGAATACTGCTTCATGCATGTGTTATATTTTATGAGACAACCGCTGATGGCGATATTACCAAAGCAATGGTGTCCATTTTCTAAATATAATCATTTATCACTTGGATTACACTTTCTTTGTTTTGTTGTGTGTGGGACTTTGAATTTTGCTTTGTGTTTTTGGTGACTGAAATTTACTTAAGAAATAACTGTGATTTGGCTTCCATTAATTCCACACCATCTCCTTCCTCAGGCTGTAGTGGAAGACCAGCCAGGAGTGAAACCACTGCTTCCATGCTTGCCTGGTCCAAATCTCTGAGGAAAAAATATTTAAAGACCATAAGTCTTTCAGGTTCTTCTATCCCACCATCCCCTCAAATAAACGCTTTCTAACAGACACACACTTTAGGAACTACCTATTTCATTAAACAAATTATTAGGACAGCCTAAATAATTTGAGTTAATATGCAGACCACAGAATGCAAAAACATTTCAAGTTGAGGAGAGGGTGATAATAACTTGCTACAAAGTAATCTTGGCAATAGCTACTTTAAATCAAAAGCATGCACTATAAAATCAAGCCTGGCCAAAGAAATATATGTGAATGGCTATTATGCAGTTCATTGGGTTCAATTATTTTCTGATATTTGGCAATAAGTATTTGCCATTAGAGCGAACATCAAGCAATTACTTTTTAGAATGACTCAAAACAAGTAAGTTCCTCAAATAATACTTTTATTTATCGAATCACAAAATAAGTACAATCTAAGGTTTTTTATATCTTATTTTCCAATAACTATACATTATCTTTCCTAAAGGGACAACACTAACTTTCCAAACATAACCCTCTCTCACATTTGTTTCTACTGAAAGTATTTTAGTTAAAAAGAAAAATAGTGAAGACTGGAATATCATCATAGAATTCAAATGCGAAAGCTTGATATCCAGAAAAACAATTTCAGTACACATAAAATATATGTAGAATAGCTATAATGAGGTAATAGTAATGCCTAGAGTAAACCTGCTAATATGTAGGGGTCATTCTCATTTTTACCTTGTTAGACATTTTACATCGTCATCTGCAGCTTGGTTTGATGTGCCCATAACCCAGTCTGTCAAGTATTCCACCATCTTATTCCTATAGAATGGCAGAGAAAAGGAAAATAACAATTTTTTTTAAAGTCACACATGCACCTTTTTAAATAGTGCACACAATGTGCCAAATCACTCAGGCAACATGACAATTTTATAAAAGAGATATTGCTATCACAAATCTAACAGACGGGAACAAACACAGGCAACTTGGATACTGATCTTCCACATAAACCCTGAGCTATGTTTTCAGTTTGGAAACAGAATCAAATTCTTAACTCAAGTATCGTATAATTTTAGTAAAAGGGAGTGCTGTCATAAGCACAAACCTTTGGGAAATTTGAAAAGACATGAAGAGAAAAAGAAACATGTAAAAAGCTCCTTTTCCACCCCAACCCCCAACTGCTTCCCATGATAACCAAGTACCTATTTTTCTGTACTTCATTTAACATAATAAGATTTAGAACACTCTACTTTGCTCTTTTGAGAACTCACCTAAATTTCATCTCTTGACAAAATGAGAGGTCATCTCTTCTTGCCATCATTACCTCGACTAACTGACACAGTTTCGTTTTTATTTGAATTGCATGGACCATATTCCCAAGCACACGAACATATCTATTGAGACAGAGAGAAACATTCAAAAAATTATCAGAGAGAAACAAAAGGGAAGATTTTCTAATTGTTTAATCTCTGAGCAAAATAATTAAATGATTATAAAAATTGCAAGACTTTTATTTTATTTATACGAAAACATGCATAACCTTGGGTTATTTTATTGTCACACCCTAATTTGAGTGCAATAAAGAAAAGGATGGCAAGTTACTTCATTAACAGCTACTAACACCAATGTGTTTCTGCTACATTTCAGTAGAATGCTTACCTGACCAAATTTAACATCATTGTTTCAATGCTAGCTTGCCCCAGGTGTTCGGAGCTGCCTTCAGTATGATTATCTAGTAAGTTCTTCATTATAGCTATGGTTTGCTCCACAAATTGAGTATTGGTGTCAGTCAGTAAAACCTACACAAAGAACAAAATATATCTAGAATCAATGCACAGCAGACAGAGAGATGAAGTTGCCTGATCTAAATGTCCTACATATGCAGAAACGCACCTACAGGCATACATACAAACAGGCACATAAATACAGACACTCAAACCCATACCCAAGGCACTTGTAACCCCAGGCAGACCCACACACCAGAATTCTTAAAAAGTACATTGATCCCACATTAGAGGATTCCTCTTTCTGCAATTTTTCGCCTATTTTTTTTAATTGTAAGTGAACGTTTATGCCAACATCTAAATAATTTAAAAAGAAAAAGTCTTCATTATTTCAAGCAAGTCACACTATTCATATGGAAGTGTGGAAAATAAAACAGAGCACACTTTACCTGTCCTTGGGAGTCAAAAAATTTGCTGATGGTATTCTTCAATTTGTTAAATAGCATTGGGTAAAGAGCAGGACTCAATTCTAGACCCAACAGATCCTTCACGTTGGTCCGTATCTGAAGTCCCACTTTCTCATGGTTACACACCATTAAGGACAGCAGCCGGTCCATGAATTTGCTGACAGGCGTATCTGCATTTCCCTCTGAGGACATCACTGAAATCATGGAACCCTTGCGTTCACTGACGGGGCCCATGGGTGGGCTATAGGTTGCAAGGCCAGAACTGCTTCTTTGCTGCAGGCACACTCCCCCAAGAGCACAGAGGAAGCCGGTCATGTTGATCCATTCTTGTAGAGAGTCCGTGTCAGACAAATCGATGGAACCTCCTCCACTCACGTGAGACATTCGCCGCTTAACAATGGTCTTGTGAAGGCTTTCAGCAGCCTAAACACAAAATTTTTATGGAAAGCATGAATTCAACCTAAATTGATGGAGAGACTTGACAATTTACTTTTCATCCGACATTTTCCCCACAACAAGAGAACACTTTTTACTTTTAAAAATCCAAGTCTTCATTATGCCATTTCTAGTCACATCAAGGTGTCTTACTGCTTGAGGGAGGATGAGCCTTCCAGAATTGAAGGTAGCAATAAACAGAGATGCAGGATCAGATATAAAAGGTGGTGATGGATTGTAGCTCAGAAAGGAACATACGCTCAAAATATTTGCTTCTATCACTTCCTGGACACAAAAGCCATGTCTGTGCTGCTTCCAGGAATATAAACATTTGGAGACTTTTTTAACCAAGTAGTGGGTGTGTTTATTAACTTGGTGACTGCCCACGTTCAAGTGCTCTGGGACCAGCTTTGTAAACATTGTACTACTATTAACATAGATTCCCCATGGCAAGATGAGACTAATCAAGTGGAAGAACCACCGAACACAGAAAGAGTGCTTAACGAGGGACGTATAGGAAGACAAAAATCAATAGGAAAAAAACTTTGTAAGATTTGTAATCTGACTAAGCAGTAATCTTCAGAGCTCTGATGCTTTTAGTTTATGGAGTACAAATAAGAAAGAAAAACTCTTACTATGTGCGGCAAAATTTTTTCAAATTCAACTTCCCTCATATGCTGCTTATAAGCGTAATACTCATCCTTCTATAGAGAATATATCAACCCAAGAAAGCAACGTATTAGGGGCATTCTGTGATATGAACAATGCAGAAGTATCATTGCATTTGCTTCATTATGTATATTTATTTTTCTGGGGAAAATGGCCTTTCTCTCAAGGATTGCTTTGAATATAGAACTACTGAAACTGCCATTTCTTATAGCACATGCATTTATTACAGTTGTATCTAATATGAGAATATGGCTACACACCCCTGCTGTCATGCAGCACATTATCCCTTTCAGGACCTATGTGATAAGGTATTTATCCACGCTCTCTGATCAGGAGTTCAGACAGAGGGTGACTTGCAACATGGCTGATTTTATGAGGGTCACAGTGAAAGAACCATTGGATACAACATTGTGCTTTGATAAAGAAAGCCTGGATCTTGCATTTAAGTACTTTCTATTACTTACTTTGACTATGAGGTTGGCTGGACTAACTCAGACAACGAATCAACTTCACACCTTCAATGATGTGAGCTATAATGCATCAATAGTAACAGACACAGAAACGTCCATTGCAGAAAAGCTTGCAGACTGGCTTATAAGCAATAATGTGGTTGAGCATATATTTGGACCAAATTTACACACTGAGATTATCAAACAATGCCAAGTGATTTGAATTTTTGACAGCAGAAGGGCGACTGAGTACTCAGCATATTTACTCATTTGGGCTGCTGCACAGTTGAAACACTGTAGTCGATAAAGACATAACTTATTTCCTTCACTGATCAAGAATTTGGATCCAATACCACTTACACATCTCCTTAATCTGGTCTCAGCTCTGAGCCACGTGTTCAAACGGAACAGACATTGTGCTTGGCATCAATGTTAATTAAAGCATTATAGAATACTGCACTAGCAGCTAAGGTTCAGCTAGCTAGAGTTCTTTTGTTCCATTTTTTAGTAATTATGGTTTTCACATTAGGTTTAAAGATTTTTCCCTCACAGGGTTCATATTTTATCACTCAGTATTGCTTTTTTCCAGCACATTTAAGCACTCTTGATTATATCCCTTCCAAAAGAATAATTCTTATTCTCTTCTTGATTCTGGGGACACAGTGGTGATTACTCTGCTTTCAAATTATAGTTAAATGTTCTTGAACTGTGTCATATTATATATAAAGAAAATTAAATAAGATAAGTGAAGTTAAACTTAAGCTGAAATATAAACATTTTGATAATGCCATTGTTCTTCCACCTGGGTGGGTCTTTTGTGTTTAAGACTTCTGCAGTGCATAAAAATTAGGTTTGCGGGCCGGCCGAGTGGCGCGATGGTTAAGAACTGGCTTGGAATGCCAGAGGGCCCCGGTTCGGATCCCACATATGAGGGCCAGTGACACTGCCCTCCACAGCTAAGATGCTGACCAACAGCTCAACTTGGAGCTGGGCTGCTGTGAGTCGCCAGCAACGGCGTAGGCTGCAGCCCCTGTGGCAGTGGGTTGCCATGGGCTACCGTGTGCAGCCAGCAGCCAGCGTGAGCGGCCGTCCAGAGGCCGGCGACTGATGTGCCTCACACAGGAAGAGCGCAATGATGGTGCCAACTTGGGCCAGTAAAGCAACGTCCTCCACAACTAGACTGAAGAAGAAAACGACAGCAACTTGTCTGCTCCCCTTCCCCCAATTCCCCAGCACTGTTCCCATCCCCCCAATTCCCCAATAAAAAAAATCTTAAAAAAAAATATTAAGTTTGCTTTTTTTTTGCTGATCCATCTTGCCACCTGTTGGCAGCTCAGCTTGAGCTGGGAATCGAACTGCTGTTGCTCAGAGCTCGCACTCTTGAGTGAGCTCTTAAACAACTGAGCCACTCGGACAGCACTGCATTTTTTCTTTAGTGTGAATTCTGCCACATATTTACATACTTCTTATTGGGGCTCAAGTGATTACCACAAAAGTCTTGATTTTCAGTTCTGTTCCACTGATACAATTTCAGATTTCCCTTGTCTTATACTGCTTTGAAAATGTTGTTCCATTCTCTGATATAGTGAATTCAGATATTAATTGAATATATGAGGTCTGACAATAAAGTTTGCGAAATTGTTGCAATGATGTTGCTAACCTTTTTTGATATCAGAGGGATTATTCATTATGAATTTGTACCAACTGGACAAACAGTTAACGAAGTTTACTATTTGGAAGTGCTGAAAAGGCTGCATGAGAAAGTTAGATGACCTGAACTTTTCACCAACAATCCATGGCTCTTGCATCACAACAATGCACCAGCTCACAGGGTACTGTCTGTGAGGGAGTTTTTAGCCAGTAAACAAATAACTGTATTGGAACTCCCTTCCTACTCACCTGATCTGGTCTCAGTGACTTCTTTCTTTACCCGAAGATAAAGGAAATACTGAAAGGAAGACATTTTGATGGTATCAGGACATCAAGGGTAATATGATGATGACTCTCATGGCCCTTCCAGAAAAAGTTCGAAAATTGCTTTGAAGGGTGGACTAGGAGCTGGCATTGGTGCATAGCTTCCCAAGGGGAGTACTTTGAAGGTGACCATAGTGATATTCAGCAATGAGGTATGTAGCACTTTTTCTAGGATGAGTTCATTAACTTAATTGTCAGACCTCGTATATTATATTGTATTATATATTATATTATATTACATTATATTAATGTTTTCAGCTTACCTCTGCCCAGGTCTAATACAAATGTCTAATTTTATTGAATATTTAAGTGCTTCAAAATTTTTTTTACCTAATTGAGTTAGAAAAGATAGGTGCAATATTTTCTTTTCCACTGTTGATCTTTAAAGAGCTATAATTTGAATAATCACAATAGAAAAATTGCTTGTTCATGAAGTTACAAGAAACCACTAATAGATCTCCATTATTGGATCAATTACTTCATTTGTTACATATTCTTTAAAAAAGAAAGCTTTTAATGGATGGATGATATTTCATCATTCACATAGGTGTTGTAACAGTTAATTATAAAATGTTAATTATCTTTTAAAAGTCTTTGTGAAACCCCCAGTTTTTTAATGTGGTTGTATTAATTCACATTCCCTGTATATGGATTTGTATACCCTGTGACCCTGCAATTCCACGATGTGCCTTATAGAAATGCATCCAGATGGTCACCAAAGACACATTCAAGAATGTTCATAGCAGTACTATGTGAAATAACTCATCTTTGTATAGCTCTCCAATGCCAAAAAAGTGTAGAAAGGAAAATCAAATTGTAGACTATTTGTTGAACGAAATTATACCAATAACAATGAACGAACTACAACTGCACAGAATAGTGTGGAGGCATCTCACAAACATAATGTTGAGTGAAAGAAGGCAGACATAAGAGAGGATATAGCTATTATTCCATTTATATCAAGTTAAAAACAGTTAAACTGTTGTATTTAGTGGTCAGGATTACGGTTACTCATGGATTGTTAATGACTGGAAGGTGGCACAATGAAGGTTTCTGATATGCTCATAATGATTTGTATCCTGATGTGGGTGCTGTTGCACAGGTACATTCATCCCCTAATATTCTGAATTGTCACTTAGATTTACACTTATTTTTATATGTATGTTATACTTCAATAAAAAGGAAAAAACAAAACTATGTGAAAGATGAATAAAGTAAAAACAAATAAATAATCCAAACTTAAATTTTACCATATGACTAAACATTTTTAAAGAGCCAGTGATAAATTTTTGTCATAGACTAATATAATCAACTCAGAACATCAAATTTCTTTTAAAAAGCTTTGATTCATATGAATGAACCTTGTAAACACTATGCCAAGTGAAAGAAACCAGTCCCAAGAGACCACATATTGAATGATTCCATTTCTGTGAAATGTCCAGAGCAGGCAAACCTATAGGGACAGAAAGTCGGTTAGTGGTTGCCTAGGCCTGGGGTGCGGTGTGTGTGCATGTGGGGGGTGGGGGGACGACTACAGGGAAGAGGAATGATAGCTAAAGGTTATAAGGTTTTTTAAAAAAATGTGGTGATGGTTGCACAACTCTGTGAATATATTAAAAAGTTTTAAATTTCATTTAACCTATGAGTTCGTCTGCCCACCAGACCCCTTAAGTAGGATAGGATACCTAATAAAATAGTAAAATGTATTGCTTCAATTTTCATTATTGTTCTCTACCTTTGTTGCCCCTTTCCTGAAAATTCTGTGAAATCCTCTGATGGAGAAAGAGAAAGAAAGAGGGTAAAGGAATGGTCTCTACGACAGATCACCTCTCGCTCAGCTGTCCAGTATTTCTGAAATGATGGAAACGTTTTATATCTGTGCTGTCCAATACAGTGGCCAATTGCCACACGTGGCTATTGAGCCCTTAAAATGTGGCTACTGTATGACCGAGAAACTGAATTCAAATTGTATTTAATTTTAATTATTATTATTTTTTAATTGGGGAATTGGGGGAAGGGAACAGACAAGTTGCTGTCCTTTTGTTCTTCAGTCTAGTTGTGGAGGACGCCAGTGACTCACGGCAACCCAGCTCCAGGTTGAACCGTTGTTCACCATCTTAGCTGTAGAGGGCGCAGCGTCACTGGCCCCCATGTGGGATCCGAATAGGGCCCCTGCTGCTCAGAGCTGGCGTCCCAAGTCAACTCTTAACCAACATGCCACTCGGCCAGCCCTCAATTTTAATTATTTAAGTTAAATTTAAATTTAAGTAGCCACAGGTAGCTAGTGGATACCAATTAGGCAGTGTAGATTTGGATGAACCACAACTAGTTATCAGTCTTAAGACAACTAGATGCTTACTATACGAAAAGTAACTTACAAAAGGTTACTGAAGTGAAGTACATGTGCTTAGCAGATCAATTAATAGACAAAAATCAACTTTACAAACTCACCTGGCCATCTTCCATTTTGGCTTTTGGATAGTTGAGGATCAGTTTTGTAGCTTGTTCCCATTTTGCATGTGTATCTTCCCAAGCCTAAAAAGAAGGCAATTAGCACTTAAAAGCAACTTGAGACCTAGAGCTACAAATCAATCAGCAATAGACAGGTCTCAAACGTGGTACATATCATAAGAATAATATCTTACTTGACATATGCACATATCTTAGATTTGCTTCAGAAGCTATTCCTGGCCATATGAGGCTTGTACAGTGGAGGGTGGGCAGGAGGGCTGCCTCTGTGGCGGAGGGCATACATACCTCCGTGTTTCCTGCAGTGGGATGCTCGATGCGCCGGAGTAGTGCCATCACCCTTTTCTGAAGTGCTGCTCTTCCTAAGCAAAGACAACAGCAGATGATCTTACTGCACTTACAGCCCTGCCTACCAGCGGAGCACCAGCAAGCCCAACCCAAAAGGCAGAGAAGGAGCGGAACGAATGCTTCTCATGGCAAAGCTGAACACTTCCTTGTATCAACCTTATAGGAAAAGTATTTTACTTGGATTTCACCATGTCCACAGCATAAAATAGCTATTCTCACCTATATTTACTCAAAACATGTGCCAATGTGTTTAAAACTTCACTATATATAATTCAGGCCGAGTAAATTATATAATCTATCACTGCCAGCAATTTATATGACCAGTTTCTGAACAAATGTACATCGTATTAAAAACTCATTGAGAAGTTAACAATTCATGTCAAATGCTATTTGGTTTCACCCTACCGCGTGCAGAAAAGGATTTAAGGTAAGCTATTTGAAATCAGTCCTATAAACTTGCAAAATAGTTATCTCAAATACATTGCTAGCACAATCAGATGCGATTCAAGGCAGACCAAGTGAAAAAAAACATTATCCACATTTACCTGTTGACATCATATTGCTGACAGAGGCGAACTCCATGAATGTGTTATAGTTGGGCAAGAAGTTGTGCACCGACACTTCGTCCACCCCACACCGGATATCCGCTTCCTCACAGAGGTGGCGGAAACAGGACATGGCAACCAGCACAGCTTCAGTGTCAGGGCTCCACAGAAACATGTACAGGGCCACTTCTAGTTTGGTCTGGGCTTGCCGGCATATTGGTGGGGTTCCACTGCACCCTGCTGCACTATCCTGGGAGTCAGGGGTGGGCGGCACGTATTTTCAACGTAGGTAATTTTAATTACAAAACCCAACAGTGCAACAAATGGTGTACCACATGTGGATCTGCATCCAATAACCACAAGAGCTTTTTCCCATTCATCATGATAGGAATTTTCAAACCCCCACATGTCTTGTCTGAATGAGAAATGAGATTATTTGGACCAACATAATGCTACCATCTGCCCAATTTCCAATCAAATAGGTATTATCCTAGTCTCGATTTCAGAAATGTGGATTAAGCCCGACATGCACACAAGTAAAATGCCCACAACATAAAAATGGAATCCACTCCCCAGTCAATTATAAATGACAAAGGAAGAGGAGGTAACAGGAAATTCTATTCACCTGCTGAAGGGAAGCAATAAAATAAGTACACTGCAGGTACTGACTTAAATGAGGGCACAGACAAGAACTAAATATTGCCGTAAAAGATATACTTGATTCTGGATTGAATATTCCCAAAATAGGAAATACAGAACTCCTCATTTACAAAACTAATACAAACTCTGCAGGTAAAGTAGATAATAGTAAACATCACACTGCTTAATTGCTGTTTTCCTCAACAGAAGGTAATACAGGAAAACTACAAAACCAGCTGCTTACCATGGATGAGCTTCCCTTTCCCTTCCGGAGAGAGGCCCCAGAAGTACGTAGTAACTCTTCATGATCCATGGACATTTGACTGGTGGGGCCACTTGACGGAACGTCACATCCTACCCCATAAACGAAGAGAAAGTGACAGGAACTTCTATCTGCCTGCTAGAAAGAAGAAATAAGTTAGCTTTTCTGAAGCACCGATAACCACGAGAAATAAACACTTGCTGTGCATTGTCTTCCTGTGAGAGATTATCCTGGCAAACCTCTCCTCACAACTCCCATCCCTCACCTTGAGGCACAGTCACTAGAAACCCAGTAGTACAAATAATGTTTGCTGAACATCTTGGAAACTCCTGGCTTTCCATCCTTTAAATCATCAGAAACAACAGATTCTAGAGATGTAAATGAACATTTCTAAATCTAACACGGACACAAGTAAAAACATCAACAACATGTACTTCTCAACTAAAAATGACTTATGCAGATTTTCTCCCATAAGATTTTATCCTGTGCCATGTCAGGATAATTGGAAGTTGACTCTTTTGAGGTTAAGTTCCTCTGGACCAGTAATTCACACTGGTATACATGCCAAGTGTGTTACAAGAGTGCCTTTCCTGCCCAGAGTACTTCAGATTTATTACTGGATTACTAATGCTTGTACTCTGGAGAATTATAGCATAGGCAAAGGCATGAAACTCTGAAGTCTAATCTCTTTCCTTATTTTAGGAAGAATGCAAAATTTTACTATATTAACACAGTAAGATAAGCCAGATGGGAATAAACTCAGTTTACCATTAGCCTATTTCTAAACAAAGAAAATTTAACATCCTGCATGATACACTGAAAAGCTTATGAGTCTGTTACATTCAAAATTTCTCATAGAAGGGCCAGCGAAGTGGCTCAGTTGGTTAAGAGCTCGCTCAAGAGTTTGAGCTCTGAGCAACAGCGGTTTGATTGCCGGCCCGAGCTGAGCAGCCACTGAGCTGCCAACAGGTGGCAGGATGGCTCAGTTTAAAAAAAAAAAAAAATTTCTCATAGCTATGATTTTAGAAATGGATAAAAAAAAAAAATCATTGAATCAAGTACTCCTAATACTATGCAACAGAAAAGGTTTAATTGACTAATTATAGAAACTTTATGTTGAAAGAAATTTAAGGCTCTTCTCTATCCCTCAGAACCTTGTCACCATGCTTCAATAGTAAACTTTTCACTTGACCCTAAGGAAGAAAACTCCTATAGAGGTGAAATCTTTATGGCCGGAATATAAATAAACCTAGACTGAGGACGCTCACCCTCTTCCCTTCAGCTTCTTATAGATAACATTCTCTGGACTAGCCCAGCCATAAGATCCAAATCTCACGTATGAACTTGAAAGGAGAAATAGGATATGCTCCTCAGTCTACTTTGGTTATAGCAGCCCCCACTCCTCCCAGGCCTGAACCATAATGTCCTGCTTAACTCAACTAGACTTAATCAGAACTGCAACTCTAAGGCCAAAACCTCAGAATACATTGTTAAATGTTGATTTGTCAGCCACTGTCCTCTGCACATATATTTATTTCCCTTGAAGACTTTGTAGGAGGGAGGAACTGAAGTAAGATTTAATTTGGCTAATAAACTCTTCCTTGATCTCTTCCCATTACCATTCCAAATATTCTCCCATTTTTAAAGACATCAGTTTGCTTACCTTATTTTTAAGAAGAAATTTATTCCTGCAGATCAAAATTTCCCGCAACCATTTGAGAATTTCTGTGCTACTAAGCATTTGATGGCTAGTTAATTTCTTGCAGATGTAAAAAAGCATTTGTGAGCTGCAGTAACATAAAGTTCATTGTTACCAGCATTGTCAATAAATAACCTAATACAGATATAATCAGTACATAAGAATGGCATTCTCTCATAATGGGCACAAGTTTAGAGAAGCTTATTTTCTCCTCTAAGATTTGTTTTAGAGAAATGGTTATTAAAATGTCAATAGCATGATAATCAAAGGAAATAAGTCTACAGTTCATGTAAAAAAATTCAAGTACTTCTAAGCTCCCTACTCCCCGAACTCCCAACTCTTTCATCTACGCATCTAATCCTTGCAGAGGACCCAAGAAGAAATGACAGACCATGTGTACACCACAGACTGTACATAAACCCAGTGCTCTAGAGCCGGAGTCTTCAAACGACTGCCCACAGGCCAAATCCAGCCTATCATTTGCTTTTGTAAATAATGTTTTAGTGGAAAACGGCCACATTCATTCATTTACACATTGTCTGTGACTGCAGAACTGAATAGTTCTGACAGACTACTTGGCCCACAATGTCTAAAATATTTACTACCTGGCCCTTTAGAGCAAAAGTTTGCTGATCCCTACTCAGGAGCTGCACTGTCCAACCCAGTAGCCACTAACCAGCCACATGTGGCTGCTGAGCACTTGACAAGTGGCTTGTCCAAACTGAGATGTGCTGAAAGTGTAAACACACACCGCATTTTGAAGACTTGATGAAAAAAGGTAAATATCTCATTGATAACTTTTATAATGATTACATTTTGAAATAATATTTTAGATATGTATCCTGGGTTAAAAATATATTATTAAAATTAATTTTACTTGCTTTTTATTTTTTAACATGGCAACTAGAAAGCTTTAAAATACATGTGAGGTTCACATTACATTACTATCAAAGAGCGCTACTCCAGAGTCAAGGATTTAACTCAGCCGCCAAGTGACTTAGTGCACCCACTTGTAGGATGAGATAATGACAAAAACTGAGGCTTAATTTTCTTCAATGTTTTGCCTTCATGTTCATTAAAAGGTAGTAATTTATACAACCTAGGAAAAGAATTATAAAATTCTGTATATATTTTTACCTTCTAAGCAGATGTTTATTATTAATCCATTCATCAAGAATGCTTGTACTATTGAACAGTTATGAAAGATCATTGTTTAAAAAACTGAAGTTAACTACTAACGTTGCAAAATTTTAACACTCTAAGCTTATAACTGTAAAAATCAATTTAAAACACAGTTGTAACTACATAGAAATCTGAAATAAAAGAGAAATCACCAAATAACAGTACCTACAGTTGAGTAATAAGATTTAGAACAATTTTAAAAATTTCATTTTCTACATTGCTGTGTGTGACATTGTTCCTACAGTTAAAATAAGAAAACAATCTAATTAATAATCTCAAGTCAAATAAAATACAAAAATCATAAAACCTCTGAAGGTATAAGCGAATAAAGTTTTACAATAACCAATACTATAAAGTTAATATTTAAAGACAAAAAAGAAATACAAAATACAATTTTAAATTGAATGAAACAAATAAAAGTCCATATACCTAATTTCCCAAAACGTTTCTACAGGAGCATCAGGATTCCACAAATCAATGCTATCTAACTGATGAAGAACCAGCAGAGCCTGCGTTTCAAAAGAGAGAAGAGAGAAGACTTACTCAAAAAAAAGTTTTGGTAAACATAATACTGGAGTAGTTATTTTATAAATGCTAATGAATTGAGTTATTTAACTGTAGCCTCAACATACAGTGTAAGGCAAAAGAGAAAAACTCTGAAGACCCCAAATTGCTAAGAAAATACTTATATACATATATATATATATATATATATACACACACACATGTATATGTAATGTATATGTATGTGTATGTGTATATGTATAGAAAGAAATCACTTTATTCCCATCATTCTTACTTAAAATGGCATGCATTCATAAAGTTAAATGACTGGTGAATTCAGAATAGCTATATATATATATATATATATACACACACACACATATGTAAAAATTACTTTAAGATACAAACAAAATAACTTCAATACGTATCAAAGAATTCAACAGGACACAAAATTATTACCCACGTAAGGAAAGCTAGTCAAAATTAATACACACAACAATATTTTACTTCTAGGCCAAAAGATAAAGTAGAAGCTATCTTGCTTACCAGGAATTTTTTTGGAACAGAAATGATAAATTCTTTTTCAAAAATAAGAGAGAGGAGGGCAAAATAGACTTTGCATTTCATAGCAGCCAATTCATCCTAAAATATTTTAGTTGACAGAATTGAAATTGGGATTGGAATCTGGCTCATTGAACATTAACCAAAATTAAATAATTTAAAATATACAACTAACATACGAAATCACGATTATGAGATAAATGAAAGCCATCAAAGGTATAAAGAGTAAAATTAGTACAGCGTATGAATGAAAACATAGTAGTCATTTGATATTTCATAAAACGTTTTGTTATTAATTTTTAACTTAATTCTACTATAGTCACATAAATAATTCTGAATGATTTCAATCCTTTAGAATTTGTTGAGACTTACTTCATGCTCAGGATATACTGAATGTTCCAGGGGTACTTGTAAAGAAAGTGTATTTATTGAGTGTATTGCTTTGTATACATCAAATAGGTCATATCTGATAATCATGTTGTTCAAATCTTCTATCCTTACTAATTTTATTGCTTGTTTATTCTATCAGATTTTGAGAAAAGTATGCTCAAGTATCCCACCCACTATAACTGGATTTGGTTTTCTCTCCATTTACTTTATATATTTTGAGGCTTTGTATATTTTGCTGTATATATTTTGAAACTTTGTTATTAGGTCCATATAGAGTTTTACTTCCTGGATGGGTCAGACCCCTTTGTAATAATGAGATATCACCCTTTATCTCCAGTAATGTTTCTTCCTTTAAACTCTGTATCTATATATCACTCATGTTCTTGGGTTAGTTTGTATGACATATTTTTCTTTCTTTGTACTGTCTACCTTCCAGTGTCCTTATATTTAAGCTGTATCTCTAATAAAGACCACATAATAAGATTTTTGCACTCTTAGGTATTTACCCAAGAGAAATGAAAGCCTATGTCTACACAGAGATTGGTACATACGTGTTCCTAGAATCTTTATTTGTAATAGCCAAAAACTAGAAACAATGCAAATGTCCATCAACATGGATAAACAAATAGTGGTACAGCCACACAGTGGAACACTACACAACAATAAAAAGGAAAGAATTTTTTTAAATGGAATGCAACAAAAGATGAATGTCATGATAATCATGCTGAGTTGAAGAATACAGAAAAAGTATCTGCTTTATAATTCCACTTATAAAAAACACAAACTAATCTATAGTAACAGAAAACAGATGAACAGTTACGGGGGAAGCAGGGGAGCGGGCAGGGGGCAATAAGGGGCAAGAGCAAGAGAGGGAGGGAAAACAAGAGAACATTCAGTAATGATGCGGATGTTCATCTAAGTGACCATTAACAAGTCAGTAAACTGTGGTATAATCATCAATGGACTACTGATCAATAATAAAAAGGAAGGAACTAAGGTGTGCTACAACATGGATGAATTTCAAAAACTTGCTGAGTGAAAGAAGCCACACAAAAAGGACTATATAGTCTAAGATTCCATTCACACGAACTTCTAGAACTGGCAAAACTAACCCATAGTGATAGACATCACACCAGTGGTCTCTGGGACAGGGAATGGGGACACTGGCTGCAAAAGACACAGGGGAACTTTCTGGAGTGATTAGAAATATTCTAAATTGTATGATTCTATTATATGTAAATCATACCTCGATAAAATTTATTTAAATTTAAACTATATTTATCAAGTAATCAATATAACAGTAATTTTTTAAAAAAAGTCAACTGTATTCACACTCATTAGTATGTAATAAAAAAAAAAACACCAATAAGTATTGGCAAGGATGTGTAAATACTGGAACCCTCCTATATTGCTCGTGGGAATATAAAAAGATGCAATCAGTCACTTTGGAAAAGAGTTTAGCAGGTCCTCAAAAAGTTAAACACAGTTACCATATGATCCAGTAATTTCGCTCTTAGCTATATACCTAACAGATGTATCCACACAAACTCTTTTACACAAATTTTTATAGTAGCATTATTCATAATAGCCAAAAAGTAGAAACAATCCAATGTCAATCAATTGACGAATGGATAAACCAGTGTGGTGTATCCACACAATGAAGTACTTGGCAATAAAGAACAAAACAGTGATTCATACTACAGTTTGGATGAACCTTGAACACATTATGTTAAATGAAAAAAGCCAGACACAAAAGGCCATGTATTGTATGATTCTACTAATAAGAAATACTTAGAATGAGCTAATCTATTAACTCACAGAAAATAGATTAGTAGTTGACAGCGGCTGGAGTCACAGGGGAATGGGGAATGACAGGGTTTCTTTTTGGGGCGACTCAAATGTTCCAGCGTTAGATAGTGGTGATGGTTGCACATCCTTGTGAATATACTAAACGCCACTCAATTGTATACTTTAAAATAGTAAACTTTATGGTATATGAATTGTATCCAGATTTAAAATTCAATACATATTTTAAAATTCAAAAAAGTCAACTATAATTAGAAAATTGTGAGTTTTTTATTAAGCATGAAAATGTGCACAATGTTGTTGCTACATGTGATATCAAGTAAACCCCTTTTTCTCTAGTCCATAAAACAGACTATAGACACAAACATACCATTTCCAGAAATCTCTCTCTGACAGAGGTCCAGAATTTACACTTACCACTCATAAAAACCACACACCAAAGAAACATCAAGAATACACACAGCTACAGCCTTTCCTTCAAGAGCCTAGAAATCATTCTCGTCTTACCTCCATTGCTTCCTGAGCAATCTCTGGCATGTGCGACTGAGGGACCAGCTGGACAAGCCCTGTAATTAATTCCGCTGTACTGCCTTGGGTCTCAGGGCCCTGTTTTCTTGGATTCTGCAAGGAAAAAAGCAAACTTCCATTAAAAAAATCATTTGAGGGCCGGCTGAGTGGCACGATGGTTAAGAACTGGCTTGGGATGCCAGAGGGCCCCGGTTCGGATCCCACATATGAGGGCCACTGACACTGCCCTCCACAGCTAAGATGCTGAACAACAGCTCAACCTGGAGCTGGGCTGTGTGAGTCGCCGGTGACGGCGTAGGCTGCAGCCCCTGCTGCAGTGGGTTGCCATAGGCTACCATGTGTAGCCAGCAGCCACAGTGAGCGGCCGTCCAGAAGCCGGCGACTGATCTGCCTCACCCGGGAAGAGCGCAATGATGGTGCCAACTTGGGCCAGTGAAGCAACGTCCTCCACAACTAGACTGAAGAACAAAACGACAGCAACTTGTCTGTTCCCCTTCCCCCAATTCCCCAGCACTGTTCCCATCCCCCAATCCCCCAATAAAAATCTTAAAAAATAAATAAATAAAATAAACCAATACTATTCTCTAAAAAAAAAAATCATTTGACAGGAGCTGAAGGGAGGAGGGAATGTAGAGAGACTGCTAATGGGCACTAGGTTTCTTTTTGGGGTGATAAAAATGTTCTAGAATTAGTGATACTGGCCACGCGACCTTGTACATACCAAAACCCAGCAAATCATACACTTTAAAATGATTAATTTTAGGGTATGTGAACTATATCTCAATAAACACAATTGTGGAATTTTTTAACAAATCAAAACTACTTTTGTTAAGTCTACATCTATAATTGGTTCATTAATTGAATAATGTCCAGCAAAAAATCCTAATGAAAACAAAAACTAGATATTAGCTTTCCAATTAAGAAACTATCAGTGATATTAAAAGTAATTTTTTTTTTCGGCAATACTACAAAGGCTACATAACATACCTCTGGTTGGAACTCACTGGTTTTGATCTTATAAATGGTTGCGATCAAAGGCAAAGAACCTGCCTGTCGGATGAGGGCTGCCCCGTTGCCCTGTGCGGCCCTCCTGTCCAGGACAAAGGATCTACCCAAAGCCACAGAATCCACACCTCTACGTATCCACGCCTTAGACTTTCCACTGTGGAAAAGCATTGTGTACTCAGAAAAGCAAACTAGTGGTGTATATAAATGTGTGAATGTCTACCTCTTTAAAGAGACTAACATGCTTCCTGAAACTTGGGAGCATCTATTTACACTTCAAAAATATAGAGTTCATTTAAGGGGGGCCAGTGCAACTTGTGTCCATATTTTCATTTTGCTAACTATAGATTCTTTCCCATGCTGATGATTAAGGTGAACCCACACGCTAGTACATCTGTGATTCAAAACTGTTAGCCTCTTTTCTGACATTTATATTCAGTCATTAATAACTGTAACACTTTTAGTCATTAATAACTTGATGCCAAAGACACAACAAGTAAAAAAGATGTGTTTCCTACCCTCCTGAAGCATGTAGTCTGGTGGGAAAGACAAACACCAATAAAATAATCAGACCAACAAGTGTTAAATTGCAAATGAGATTTAACTATGAAGGTACATGCTCTGAGCACCTGTAACAGGAAAATGTGGCAGGTCAGGCAGGCTGCCTTAGGGCAGTGATAACAGCCAAAAACAAGCACGAAAAAAGCGGGAAATGCAAGTTAAAAAAATCTACAACCACTGTATAAAATGCACCCAGTTTTTAGACCCCAAATTTTTCGAAAAAGGGTGCATCTTATACATGGGGAAATACGGTACTTTTGGTTACTCTGAGAACAGTTTAACCACTAGATGGCAGCAAAGAAAATAATTTCAATGTTAAATGACCCTTTTCGGCTTGCTAAATTTCAAACTTGGAAAATAGCAGGTTTTGTTCTTTTTTTTTTTTTAAGATTTTATTGGGGAATTGGGGGAAGGGGAACAGACAAGTTGCTGTTGTTCTGTTTTTCAGTCTAGCTGTGGAGGACGTCACCCCACTGGCCCAAGCTGGCACCATCACTGCGCTCTTCCTGGGCGAGGCAGATCAGTCGCAGGCCCCTAAACGGCCGCTCACTGCGCTGCTGGCCGCTCACGCCGGCTGCCAGCCACACACAGCAGCCTATGGCAACCCACTGCAGCAGGGGCTTCAGCCCAGCTCCAGGTCGAGCCGCCACTCAGCATCTCAGCTGTAGAGGGCAGTGTCACCGGCCCTCATATGTGGGATCTGTACCAGGGTCCTCTGGCATCCCAAGCCAGTTCCCAACCAACGCGCCACTCGGCCGGCCCGGTTTTGTTCTTTTAATAATAAAATATTTAACATAGATAAGGCACCAGTGATTTTGATGCCTTGTTTGACCCTGAATTATGGCCACACAAACAGAGTGGTGCTAATATATTATATTCATTCATGATGAAATAATACCACTTGTACTTAACAAAAATAACTTGTGCCTACATAACAAAAAAAATGAGGGAAAAAGTATTTCACTACTTTTATAGAGTCTCCCTGATAGATTTTATGGAATTTTTCCATGCAAAGTTCTAACAATTTATTCTACTAGACTCCCAAATTTGGATGAGCTTTTCAAAGAGTTCGAAATAGCACAGGCCTTCTTTTGGGGTCACTAATCCTTTTGGGAATTCTCTCTCTTCTATTGCTTCTCTTTAGAAAAAATATTCACATATACACATTTTTAAAATTAATTCAGGGAGTTCACAGAACTCTTAAAACTATGGACATTGAGTTATGAACCCTTATAGTATAGTAATTTGAAAAATATGCCATCAAAATTAAAAGTACCTTAGCACTTACAAAGCCTATTGCTGAACAAAGATGTAAGAAATCTTTCTGGATGCTGCTCTCCAGAGACTGGAAAAACTCTACAAAGGTTAAACGTGTTATTCTATGAACTTCATCGTATATAACTGTTACATTTGGGGCATTAATATTAACTATTTTATTCATAGTAATAATAGCTAACATTTATTTGTGCTCATTATTCATTTATTACACATTGTTCCTAAAAGTATGACATGTACAATCTTAATCTTCTTAATCTCTATGAGGTAAGAACTATTATTACATTTCACATGAGAAAACTAAGGCACAGAGAGGTTAAGTAAGTCACACAAATCACATAGCTAGCCTGTCTCCAGAGCCCATGCTTCTAATCACTTCATATAACTATCATTTACATCTGTTAGTTTCAAATTATTCTGTGTTCCAGAGTGATACTCTCTGGAATCTAAGACCATCTAGGGCTGAAAGAGCAGAGTTATGACAGTGATTGAGTACTAACCACACCCATTTTCATCTCCTTCTCCTTCCAATATAGAATTTACAGGGAAAGCCAGTGATAATAGAAGATTGATGACAGGAAGAAAGGGCGATAAAAAGCTAAATGGTTTGGCAACTGCAATTGGAGATTTAAAAAAAAAAACAAAAAAAACAATCACCATGTAGATGTAGAGAGCACTCTGATTTATAGTTGCTTGGTTACCTTCTTCCCCATCCCAGGATGATGCCTGAATAATATATAATCTGGTAACAGAGTAAGGATAGAAGACCTCACCAAAGTATGTTAGTTAATGATAAGGAAAATAAAAAAGGTAAAAAAATCTGATCTAGGGGCCGGCCGAGTGGCTCAGTTGGTTAAGAGCTCGCTCAAGAGTTGGAGCTCTGAGCAACAGCGGTTCGAGTCCAGCCCGAGCTGAGCAGCCGCTGAGCTGCCAACAGGTAGCAGTATGGCTCAGCTAAAAAAAAAAAAAAAAATCTGATCTAGTTATATTAGCATTCTGTATAAGTTAGTTTTCCTAGGGATGTCTTTAAGCATGATCAGAAAAGATCAGTAAGTGTTCTTTAGCTAATAATTACATTCAAGGTCTTGGCATTTCAATTAAACCAAAATAAGAGTAATAATTTCAAGGCGTTTCATAAAAATACTTACACAAAGCAAGAGCTTTGGATCTGCGTGAATTAGTTTCACCATGGACAAGAGAAGATACTTATAGCTTCTTGTCTCCAGGTCTGTAGGTTTTTCTTTAAATTTAAGGCTTGTTACTTTTTCTTTAAATGTAAGACTCTAAAAACAAAAACAAAAACAAAAACATGACATCGCTTTGTAAGAATCAGACACTGTTCAAGATAACAGCTATCTAACTTTTTAAAGTAAATTATAAAGAAAGCTTTGAAAAAGATAAACATTTTATACCACCAAATGTATGGTATTAGTAGAAACATTCAATAGTAAGTATAAGGTTAATGCTATTAAGCTTAAAAAAACAAATGAAAATTATTTTTGCAACATTTAAATTATTCTTATATAATCTATCTAATGAAGTTTAAGTGAAAATATGTTACAATGCTAAAAGTTTTAATATCAGATTGACTCCCATGTAAAAAATAATTTTCCAAAATGAAAACATTAGGGATAAAATATTTAGTCTATAGCTCTCAAAATACATTGAGCAAAGCATTTAACAAACATTTATCCTACACACATACACAAATATTTCACAGAATCTATGACATTATCAACTGTAGATGCATCATTATTATATGAATCACAAGAAATAAAAAAAAACCACTGTCAACTGTCAGACACCAGACAAATAAGATGTATTCTCCACTTCAGAGATGTTAAAAACTAAAATAACACATAAATTATTATAATTGATGAAATATGCTATAGAAGCAATCTGTATTTAATAGTTTAATTGTAACTTTTGCTTTTTCCTTCAATGGCATTCATCTCTCTCAAATTAACATAATGTATGTATTTTGCCCGAGGAACATTGATAAAGACAAATATCATATGATCTCACTTATATGTGAAACCAAAAAAACAAAACAGAAACAAACTCATAGATACAGAGAACAAACTGATGGTTACTAGATGGGAGGGGGGTAGGGGCGGCTGGGTGAGAAAGATGAAAGCACTAAGAAGTATAAATTGGTTGTCACAAAAGAGTCGCGGGGATGTAAAGTACAGTATGGGAAATAAAGTCAATAATATTGTAACAACTATGCACAGTGTCAGATGGGTAATAGACTTATTGAGGTTATTACTTAGGGAGGTATATAAATGCCTAATCACTATGTTGTTTTGTACACCTGTAACTGATAAAAAAATTTTTTCTTAAAATAAGAATCCGCAAACAAACCTAAAAAAACAAAGCTCTTTGAGAAAGATTAAATCATGGAAAGTGTGTTTCAATTACAGAGATATTACGGTGAATCCTGTGCTCGTACTATAATTATAGATGTTCTTCAATCAAAAATCCAACAATTATATTCTGGATCTAATACCACCTTTCTCTCTATTCTTATAAAACATTCCCCTCTTTCCTTTAAAAGGACACAAAAATATCTGGTTTTGACATGTATTCCTTTATGTGAGCATACACACAAATACATAGATAGAATATCCAACATCTGTTCACCTGTAATAAAAATGTCCAAGTACACAGGCCGTCTTTCAAAGGTAATAAGTGGAGATGTATATTAAGAACATACAGCCACTATTCTCAGTGTTTAAGTGTAAGAAATACATTTGTTATTAGGCCCAAGAACACTGGAGGTTTTGGTCTTCAGAGGGGAAGAAAAGCTGTCTAATGTACACATAATGCTTGAGAATGTCACTACAGAAAATAAAGAGCAAAACCTACAAATACTGTTTGCTTTTATATTTACAGTCCCACTGCAGTGTCTTAGCAAATGTATTAATAAATTCTGTTTCTACTATTTGCTCTCATTAAACTTTTTTTTTCATTCTAAGCAGAGGTAACACCTTAGATCAAGGTGAAACTTCCATTGAATAAATTTATGTACTAATATGTAACTAAGTATAACTGCTCTTCCCTGATGCATCCATTGCACAGAGAACAATTAGCAGATATAAAAAGAATCTCTTATTTAGTAATCCTTTTTAAAAAGTACATAATAATTATGTCATCTCTTAATCTCAGGTATCAGCATATAAATTTTGTTCCAGCATGGCTGCCTAATATGAGATATAAGACTTGAAAAATTCAAATAATTTTTTTTAATTCAAATACCTTTTAATTAACAACCATTAGTGGGTTATATAAAATCAGGAACAACTTGCTAAAGAAGAAATATATTTCTTTCTTAGCTGGTCAAGTCAAATATATGGTGATGGAAGGAGAACTGACTCGATGGTGAGCACACAATGTGATATATAGATGATGTATTATAGAATTGTACACTTGAAACCTATGTAATTTTAATCATTGTCACCCCAATAAATTTAATTAAAAAAAGAAATATATTTCTTAACCAGAAATAGAAGAAAAATAACTCATTCATTAATTTATTGATTGATTTTCCATACTACAAGTATTCGTAGGAATGCAAGCTGGTATATGAGCTTTGGCCAAAGGGGCAGTCGTTCCCAGGAAAAAAAATCATGTCAGAGTATTCAGGTGTCTATTAAAAACCCACACCATTTGTTAACTTATTTAAGACTATGACTAAATTACAGGCATGTCAGAAGCATTTGCAGAGCCAGGGTCTTTTTTAAGAAGCAAAATGTGCAGAAATTATCCATATCTGTGAAAATTCATACATATATTATTAATAGGCTCTTTTAGTTTTAAAACAGTGAATGGTTAGTGCTAAGACAAATATTTCAAATTTTAAAAACAACTACAAAAATACAAAAATGGAGAAGCAGCTATGGCTTGATGTTCATATGAAAAAGGCTAATGAGTTTAAATGATTAAAAGCTCAATCTAAGATACTAATACAACCTTAGACTGTTTTGTAGAAACATGGTATGCAGACACAGCAGGTTAACAGCTTTCAGCAATTATTACACCATGTCTCGACCACTAAAATCAGATCTTAATGTCATTTTAATTGGGAAAAAAATGTATTAGGTTGAATTATTTCCAGAAAAGAAGAAAACCAGATGGAGGGTTTTGAAAGCAGGTCAAGTAAGAAATTCATTCATTCATTCAACAACTATGTACTAAATGCCTACTATGTGCCAGATACTGTCTAGGGGCGAGGAACCCAGTGCTAGACACACCAAGCTCCAGCTTTCATCAAGCTAACACACTAGTGAGGAAAGACAGCTGAAGAACTGGGTAGATGCTGGACTGAATGTTGACTATTCGCTACCCATGTGACTATGTGTCATTCATGTAATATTATTTGTGCCTCAGTTTCCATAGCTGTAAAACCAGATCAAACAACACACACACACACACACACACACACACACACACACACACACACACACGTGCGTGCACATCCCTTCCAATGCTAAAATGATTTAAAAATATAAAGAACCCTTAGGAGTACAGGATAACATTATTCAAATATCTGCAGTACTGTCTTACGGAAGAATCAGGAGTTTTCTATAGAGGTCCAGAAAAAACAGGATCAGTGATGATTGTAAGTGATAGGGACATGAGTCTATCTTGGTTTAAGAAAAATTTTCCAGTAGCTCTTTCCAACAAGAAATGTGCCCATCTTCAAACTACAGGGTGATTGTAAAGCCTAGAAATACTGATATTATTTTACCTTTTTACAGACTGAACTCCTTGATTGCTACTTCTGCAGCAAGCTAAAGGCTCAGGTTTATTAGAGCCATAAGTCAGCTGAGGCAATGCAAATAAGGACAACACACTGAACATATATAATACTATGGTTCTCAACTAGGGACAATGTTGTCCCCTAGGGAATATCTGGAAATGTCTGGAGACATTTTTGGTTTTCATGACTGGAGGGGAGGGGGATGGAGGTGCTACGGGCTTCTACTGGGTAGAGGCTAGAGATGCTGCTAAACATCCCACATGACACAGGACGGTCCCCTACCACAACGAGTTTTCCATTCCGAAATGTGAACAGTGCCAAGGTTGAGAAGCCCTGATGCAATGTATTGTCTCTAAATCATTTATTATGTGTAGTCACCTGTGTTTCCAGACTCTATGACACCTCTAGTGAGCTCTTCATTAGAAGTTTTCAAGCAAGAGCTGGAAGACTGGTACCTCTATGAGAGAAAGTGCTGTGTCTATTTAGTTCCTCATGCTTCCCTGCCATTAGCACTGTGCCTGGCAGCTAGTGGGAGCTCAATGCTTCCGTATTTGTTGTCTGGACTGTTCACTCAACAGGTTTAAGAGGGGTAAGATTCACCTTAAGGATCATCCAAATTCCAAAACGTTTTTATTCTAAAAAATTATTTCATATTAAATTTGCTAATTATTTTCTCTGGTAAGAATATTAGCCAGAAAGCTGTCCTTTAGCCATTGTGTACAAATATACATACATGCAAAATTATATACATATACAAATACATGAATATAAACAGCTGAAGAATGATTTTGAAAATCAAATGAATACTGATACTTTCAAAGAAAAATCAGAAATAAAACTAAATTCTTATCATAAGTGTCCTTGGGCCAAAAGGAGTCTAGTTATGGTTTTTATGAAATAATTATCAATAGTATAGTATGTAGTTCCTAGAATCAGCTAATAACTAGGGCTAAGAAGTAAAATAACTCCTAAATGTAGGGAACATTTTTAGACTGCCAATCAAATTTTGTCTTTGTTCAAAAAAATAATTTAGTTTCATTTTCTTTTAGTTTTCATGCACAGAAAGTTAAATTATAGACAGCTGGTAAACTGGATATTGAAGTTAAATTGGAAGTCAATATTAACTTTCCATTAATTTCAATTATTGGAGGCCATTAATTTTCTCCCAGAAGAGGTAGAAAACTTAAAACAAAAAGTCAAATAAAGTTCTAACTTCCCAGAAAATATCTGGAATGAATAAATAAGTTAGCTAAATAATTTTTAAACAATTTATTCCAAGTCATTTTCTAAAATTTTTAAAAATGATGTCTCGTTAAATAACATTTAAGTAGCCATTTGTGCTATGTACCTCCAATTAATTTATAGTTGGATTGAAATTTTCAATTTTTATAAAAATTAAGTACTTGGCATTACAGAAAGTCAACTAAAAATAACTTTGCATTTTATTTAATAAAACATCATTGCCATGCTCTGTTAGCTATAATTTTTAGACTAAATAATCTCAAACTGTATGGAACAGCAAACTTCTCTATTTGAATATCTAAGATAAATAACCCTCAGAAACAATAACTGACAACTGGATAAGAGTGAACTACAACCACATAAAAACAAAATATTTTACTGACTAAGGGAACTTGGAAAAAGAGAAGCATGCCAGGGAGGAAGCTGTTTACATTATAAGTGTGAAATAGCTGATTTACCAGATAAGGCCAGTAAGTAAAAACATGCTACATTTTCATGTGAAATGACATGATGTGACTATTATGGTAACTATACACAGAAAAGTCAAAGAAACCAGGGACTTTTCTGAGGTAGTTACAATGGGTCATACTTACAGCCACAGAAGCCCACTGCCATGCAAAACAGTGACTGGTTGGCATCTGACCATGTGAGCGACAGCAGCCAATAAGAATAGAAAATAAGCAGAAGACAAAGCACCACCAATCAATGTCAAGAGTTGCCATGTACAATACTCTTGCTATACATAAATACCAAGAAATGACTTCTACAATCCTATAGTTAACCATCTGTTTAAATGGGCTCCATATGAGTTTTAAAATTCTACATTAAGAGTATTGGAAACCTGTTAGAATACCTAATTTGAAAAGCCTGTTTTTATTAAGTTTAAACACAGTCAAACTTCATTATCAAAGTGCCTATTATTTTTGAACACTCAGGACATGTTTGCTAAAACATGACATTATTTTAAATAAAAATTAAAAATTTCATTTCTAATTTCCTGTGTGCAATATTCAGCCTCCAATGGGCAAAACTGTGCATTGGTAGGAACAGTGACTCTAACCCAGAAGTCAGCTTCCCTTACTCATCCCCAAAAGATGAGGCACTAAACAAAATATTTTGATGCATAAAGAAAAGTTAAAGAAAAAATAAATTTTAAAAAAGTGACACTGAGATTTTCACAGCATCTTGTGAGAAAATTTCTCTAAGAAAAATAAGTTCAACTCACTGAAACAGTAGAAAACAAACATCATAGACAAGTATTGCAACAATATTATCGTATACAACATACCACATACTTGCAGAAAAGGAGAGGCTTTTCTAAAATAATCAAAAAAGAAGAAAGGGGATAAAGACACTGGAAATGCAACAGGCAGAAGGTGGGATTCAAAATTCATGATTCATCTTACCGGTGCCATTCGGATTGCTGGGTGTGCTCCGCAGCCCTGCACTGCTTTATGAAGTGTTTCACCAAACATATTTCGGAGTTCAACTGAGTGACAATACACGGCATCAATCTTCGGCCACCAATCCAATGCAGACTGGACAAAAACAGAAACCATTAAGGCAGCAAAAGTACAAACTTGCATGAGCTATATGCTGCGGTTATTACCATTTTTTTTTTTATCCTTCTGTGAGAAACTTTCTAAGATCATGCAAACACACACCAGGATGTCCAAAGTCTTCGAATAATATCTTTAATCTGAACCATATATCTATTTTAAAATATAATAATGAACATGAGACAAATTGCCTGCTTTGTGAGCATTAAGCATAGAAACTGTCTCTTCTCACTAATAAGTTAGTAAATTTGAAAAACAAAGTTTTCAGAGAGTTAATTCTGTAGCCAATTTTTCTCTTTTTTTTAAGTTTAATGTTTTACACATTTCAGAAACATATACACATGTATATTTCTATATTTTCCCAGGTAAGAATGCAATGATCAAAGCTTTAAAAGAGATTAGTGGTTCAACACAATGTTGAAGGAATATGTGGCAAATGATTACTTATATGCCTACAAACAACAATGATAATTACAACATGAAATTAGTAAATGAGATAAAGCTATTAGTAAACCTATAATCTTAAACTGATATGCAATGGCGGCACAATACATGAAAAGACTAATGATCACCACAAAGACAAACTGATCATAGCTAAATATTTTTAAAAGGTAATTATTTCATGTAAATATTTTTATATTTTATATTAACCTGGTTAGCTTTTATTCTAGTTTTTAAGGCCTATTTTATTTGAAAGCCTATCTTCAACTGTTATGTTAAAATTAATTACTAAATTATGAAAAATGACAATCATGAAAAATCATTAAAACTATAAAGTTTGTCTGTCAGTGCATACAAAAATGACTAGATGAATTTTCACTGCCTATGGAAAGTATGTAAGGAATGGGATGTCTTAAAATACAGGCTTCCAATTTATAATACTCCTGCTATAGGAAACCTTAAAGAAACATTAAAATAGTAGATAAGGGGGATTTAACAGCTTTACATACTACTCCTAGTTTCCTTCTTATTCAAAGCTAAGCTAGTTAAATTCTCAACATTTAGTTTTTTCCGCCATAATTCTCAAGATATTTTGGGTAGCACCAAGGTATATTACTTTGGCTCAAAACTTTGGATTAAGAACTCTATTTACTGGATAGTAAATTATACACAGCCAATTTACAATACACAATTTGACTACTGAACCACATTTAGGAAGGGAGGGACTTGAAAGCTGTGAGGGAAGAAATACTTTTTTGGGGGGATAGTATGTTTTGTTTCTGCTTTTCTCTCAAATCTTACTTTATTACGAATTTAAGCTAATTCCTAATAAATGATCAAGTTTTAGTTTGGTTATATAACCAATTCTTTAAACTTTGGTCATTTAGGTCATCTGACTTGCCCAAGCAATCAATATAGCTTGATTTCCATATATTTACTAATTTATACAGCTTATGTTAATCAGCTTAAAATAAAAAAGGCTGAATAATCACAAAATGCATTGAGATAAGAGTCCACCTCACTCTACTGATCCTATAATATCTTGTCAGAAACTGTTTAGCTAAAGAGAGATGTATCCCAAATAACAGCCTATTGAAATTATTTTGTAATTTTGATAGTTATTGAAATTGTATGGTGCTACAGGAGCACCCTATAACACAACTTGATTTTAACTTAAGATTTGGTGATTTTCATAATTGCCACTTTTCAAAATTTATATTCAGTCACTTAACAGTAAAAGTTAAAGATACTCTTTCAAATAAAATAGGCATTAAAATCTAGACATCATGTAGTTGGTAAAAATTTTAGTGTTTTAAGTACTAAATATGTCCTTTCTGAAACTAGTCAACTAGAAATTCTTCTTTTCTCTTGAAAATACTAAGTTTATTGCCAAACGAATGGCAATACTTTTACAATGTGAGCAAACTATGTGGCATTTTTTCAAGAGATGATTTAAATAAACTTGCAAATGCCTTGAAAATAATTTCTTCAACCAAAACCTCTCAGGAGAAAGAGACCATCTCATTCTCAATATGTGAACTATCCATAATAAACTACAATAAATTGCCATAAGGAGAAAACAGAGTACTAAGTCCTACACCAGCTATAGCATGTCCCACTTATGGCTAAAATATTTAGTTCACATGTGTGTATATTATTTAATTTTCCAACTATAACAACACACCTAGCTTAGCCTAAAGGAAGCCTATAAAGAGTAAGTACTTAACACAGATCTTGTAACTACAATTCATCTCTTATAGCAAGACATCATAAAAAAGGCAACAGTACCGTGAGTACCATTTTTGGAACTGATGAAAGCTTACATTATAAAAAAATTCAAATATAGTGAACAGATTTTCAGATTTCTAAAGAAGAAACAGTGAAATATTTTAGATCTAAACACTGTACTTATAAATTGAGTATGAGTATGTTTCACAAAAGCAAAACAAAACTGCAAATACCATTACCACTTCTAAATAAACCCTCAAAACACATCAGCAAAACTTTTATTTGAGAGCGTGGTAATTTTTTAAAAATCTGTGAGTTGGCTAAAGAAACATGGAAGAAGAAAACTTATGAGGTGTATTGAACCAAGAATCATTTAAAAGGAACTCTTACAATATAAATGAATTCAAGATTAGGAGTCCAAATGTCTAAGAAAAATTTCATATGATTTTAAGACAAAATATTTCCGTAACTGTCTCCAGTGAGATTCCATAAATTTACATATTTACTTTATAAAGAGTCCTTTTCAGTCAGAAAGTACTTCAGATGCAATATCTGTTAGCCTCAACCCAAATGGGGAAAAAAAAAAATCCTAACGAAAATATTTATCAATCTATAATTATAAAGTATCATTATCTAAGGTATAACTTTAAAAGATACTTTATAGACTCAAATTTATGCTCCTTTTCAAGTTAGTCATTGAAAGGTTACTGATGCTTAATATTTTAAAAATTAGTCAATCCAGATTTTTCTTTATAAAAATAGATTTCATGTTGATGTGACTTCTGATATAGACACACTCGACCTTCACACATGCAGTACTTGTTAGAGCATAGAAGGATGCACAACCACTTCACCATATACACTGAGGCATGCATGAAGTACCACTCCAGACATGCTATAAACCCACAAAGGAGCAGCTCAGCCACTTACAGCAGTGCCAAGTCCATGCTTGAAAGTGCTCTATATATTCAATTGCAGACAGAAATATTTTACAATTAAAGTAACTAGCCACAAAGTATCAAAAAAGTATATACGTACTTGGATTTATTAAATGTAAGTTTTAAGCATTTATATAAAACCATCCACTCTAATAAATGGAATGTTTTCAGTATTATAAGCCAAAGGAGAAAAAAAAGTGATAACATTTTATTTCTGAATTACACATAAACTTGAGGGGAAAAAAATCACCTTTTTTTTTTTTTTTAAATGGCCTTGAAAGTAAACTTTGAGGGTACCATGTCTTAGCTCATTACAAGGGTAAAAGTAAAGTAAAAATTTAGGAAGTTTCTAATACAAACTTACCTTATCTGCAATCAGAATCATTAAACTTTCCCTTTTGAAACAAATTGTATTTAATATTACTTCCACCTATAATTTAACTCATAAATACTCAAGTGAGGGAGGTATCATTCCCTCTGGCAATTTTAGTTGTTTGTAATGTCTGGCGGTGGGAGGAGGGAAGTGAGTGGCACAAATAGTATTAATGAAATGTGGACCCAGGATGCTAAATACCCTGCACTGCACAAGGCAGTCCTGCACGACAAAGAACTGTCCTGCATGAAATGCCTCTAGCACCCCACTGAGAAAAATTAAACGTGTCAGGAAATAGCTTTATTACTAGTTATTTTCTCCCTGCAGGAATGGATAAAAGAAAATGTGAGCAGAATTTAATTCAACACATCCAAGGCAAATTAAGGTAGGGAAGTATTTTTATCTCACCAGCCACACTCTCTTAAAATGGAATTTGATTATAAAGAGGACAAATATACCTAAGTCATCAATGATTAAAGTCCTTTTTAAGGGAGGAAAATAGGATACAGTTGACCAATTTACATAAGTGTGAATATCTATAAATGAATAAAAGTAGAGCTGTGGTAAATAACACTTGAGAACCTTCCAAATATGATTGTTCATAACAAGAACAGAATTTTTTAAATCCATGGTCCAAATCTGATAAGGTTTCACTATCTTTCTATTGAATGTACTCATATCAGAGTTGAAGGTTTCACGAGTACCTTTTAATAAGTTCACTTATTTTGTCTGACATGGTTTTGTAACACATGAACACCTCTATTTAAGTGTGTTAGTATTTCATTTGTTTATGGAAGACTAAAAAGTACAATCAAATATAATCTCATCATTTTTAAATATACCAGTCTGGGCTACAACATAAATAACTACTACTTGAATTTAAATGTTAAGGTAACATGTCAGAACATATCAAATGCTGGAAAAGAACTAAGAATATTAAAATGATATGTGATGAGCTTTGGGACATGTTAAATTCGGGAAAACGTTAAATTATATTTTCACTGGCACTGTTCTCAAGGACTTTGGATCCAAATAAAATGTTCTAGGTTCAACCCTTCCAAAGGATCCTATTAACTCCACTTTCCTCGATCAGGGCCCTCAGGTCAAGACTGAGTATGAAAAATACAATTTTATATAAGTTACTAGATAGAAATAACCACCTGTGAGAAATCTTTCTGTATGGCACATCTAAGTTCAGAACCTTTTATAAACCAAGAAAGTCTTTCTTAAAAGGAAATTTTTAAAAAGAAAAAAAATGTTGAAGTAATTTAGCAATACCTTTTGGACTTACATTGGTGATGATTCGATGGAGTGAATTTACCAGCACATAGTGAAATGTAGAAGGGGAATTCTGAGCGAGGCAGATCTACAGAAGAAGGAAAAAACATAGATTATTTCTATGAGAAAAATACTCAATAACACAAATAAGAACAAAGGAAAAACAAAAAGAAATTTGTTTCAAAAAATAGAACAAATTTTTAAGTCTTAAAAATTGATATAGAATATTGATATACAATATTGAGAAATACCAATACAAGTGTAACGTACTCATTTTTCTAGTCTTTTGTAGTCATTTATAAAGGATGAACAGGATCAGTAAATAGAACTGGATAAAAACCAATGTTCTCACCTTGAAATGTTGGTTGTTGTGAGGGCTTATACGAAAGCAAGAAACAAGGCAGTCAATCATTAGATCCACATCTGCAGGCTGACTGCCTCTTGAGAATGGTTTACTTGGATTAAAAAGCAGGTTCTATGAAAATCCCAAAAGTAAACAAAAGCCTTTAAACAGTCATGCAGTGTTTCTCTTATTAGTTTTAATAATATCAACACAGCATCCACATAGATGGTAGGACATTCAGGTGCCAGGAGAGGCATAAAGCACTAACATTGTGGGTCATCAGTCTGATAAAATTCTTACTGTATCATATATGATTCCTTTCAGGTCCTAATCTCTATATTATTTTAAAACCAAGTCTGAATACTTATGGTAATTTAAGAAAACTGGTTGATTATGTGTTTTCTTCATACACTAAGCCACTTTATTTAGCCGCTTTATAAACAACGAATGGAAGTCCTATGAACTTATTATCAAAGAAGACTCAGAACTTCAGAGTTAGCAATGATCTTCGACAATGATCTAGCTAATTGAATACTTATACTTGAAATTTATTTTTCATGTAATTTTCTTCAATTAGCAATAACTGTGCCTCAGATAAACCTCTTTGGCTATGATACTGCCACTGCACAAAGCCCATGTAATTTCCTTCAAGTTCGTGGTAAAGAAATAAGCAGCATATTACCTTCAGGTCGACCACCATGGACTGAACCAGCAGGAAAATAACGGAGTTATCCTCCCAGTTGATGTAAGTGCTAGCCTTACACAGCTTGACACAGGCGATGGCAGCACTTTCGGTCAGCTGCCTGCTTCCCCCATGGCCAGCAAGCGCTTTTCGTAGACTGTCCAGAAACAATTTCTACAAGATTTAAATACAGCAAAAATATACCAAGTGTCTCAGATTCCAGTTTTATCTGATAAAGGAGACAATTATCAGCCTCCAAAAATTGTCCTCTAAAAATACATAGTTGGTATTTATGGTTTTTAACTTCTCAATTTATGTGGTTGTCATCATTTCACTGTGTCTCAAATCCAAAAAACCAGAATCTGTTCTTCACGTTCTCTGTTGAATTATGGGAGGAACAGAAGAAACGGTTCTTCCCAAACAAGGTGGTTGACTTCCCAACCCTGAATTCAGCTGATCATATTCTCTTTTTATACATTATCTTTCATTTCTAAATATCATATTGTCCTGGTTATGGCCAATGTCAAGCAGTTCATCCTGATCTAAAACTCCAGGCTATTTTCAACTTTCAGCCTTCTAACTAAGAATATAACTAAGGCTGTCCTATCGCTCTAAATTCTGCTCCTCACATTCTTGTGATCTCAACCCCTCTTCGCACTAACAAATTTCTCCCCTTGGCTTGTCTCCTAAATGGAAACCTCACATTTCCACATACATGTATTCTCAAATATAATATATCAAAAGCTAAACTCATCAAACAACAGAATATACATTCTTCTCAAGTACACATGGAACAATCTCCAGGATAGATCACATGTTAGGCAACAAGTCTTAAGAAATTTAAAAGACTGAAATCATACAAAATATCTTTTCTGATCACAATGAAATGAAACTAGAAATCCCAACAGCAGAAGGAAAACTGGAAAATTCACAAATAGGTGAAAATTAAACACCATTGGTTAAAGAAAAAAATATCACAAAGGAAATTAGAAAATACCTTGAGACAAATCAAAGTGAAAACACAACATACTATAAACTTATGGGATATAGTGAAAGCAGCGCCAAGAATTTATACCCAGAAACTCTCACACTAAAAAAGAAGGAAGCTCTCAAATCAATAACATAACTGTATACCTTAAGGCACTAGAAAAAGAAGAACAACCTAAACCCAAAGCTAGAAGGAAGGAAATAATAAAGATTAGAGCAAAGATAAATGAAATAAAGAATAGAAAAAATAGGGGGAAAAAAACACCAACCACTACCCTACATACGTGTATTTTGGTTTTCTAAAGATTTTTATTAAAATATAGATAACATAAAATATCATATTAGTTTCAGGTGTACACCATAGTTATTCAACATTTATATACCTAAAGAAGTGATCACCATGATAAGTCCAGCAGCCATCTGACACTGTACCACACAATCACAATATTATTGACTATGTTCCCTATGCTGTACATTACATCCCCATGACTTATTTGTTTTATACCTGGAAATTTGAACTTTTTATTCCCCTTCACCTTCCCCCCTTTTTAATTTTTCAATTACAGTTAATATTCAATATTATCTAATATTAATTTCAGGTGTACAGCATAGTGGTTAGACATTTGTATAATTTAAGAAGTGATCCCCCTGACTATTCTAGTTCTCACCAGGCACTATACATAGTTATTACCATATCATTGACTATATTCCCTGGGCTTTACTTTACATCCCCATGGCTAGTTTGGAACTACCAACTTGTACTTCTTAATCCTTTTACTTTTTTCACCCTGTCCCCCAGCCCCGTATATAGGTGTATTTTGATTTAAATGTTTGTATGAACAAGTAGGTATGAATGGAAAGATACATATCAACCATTAACACTGGTTAGCTCATACAGAATGTGACTAGAAAACAATGAGAATACATAAAAAATAAATAACACTGTTTTAAAATTCAGGAAGATTTAAAAATCTAAATTTTCTAACCTAGAAAAGCATTAGAGCAAAATACAAAAGAGTATTTCAAAAACCTTGGGGAGTTCCAGACACCAAGGTCACATATTAAATGATTCCATTTACATGAAATGTCCAGTATAGGCAAATCCATAGAGACAGAAAGCAGATTCATGGTTGCCAGAGGCTGCAGTAAGAGGGGAATAGAGTGACTGCTGATGGGTATGAGGTTTCTTTTCGGGATGATAAAAACATTCTGGAATTCGATATGGTGATGGTTGCACAGCTGGGTGAATATGCCACTGACTTGGATACGCCAAAAGGCTAAATTTTATGGTATGTGAATTGCAACTCAATAAGATAAATAAATCAAATCTTGGGTGGAAGTCCAACCAAAAAAGCTAGGACACACACAAAAAAGCAAGACTGATTGACTACACTCAAATTTTAAATATCTTAATAGCAAAATCAAAACAAAAACCCATAAACAAAGTTTACAAGAAGAAACCAAGTTAAAAGTATACACACACATACATCCTACAAATCTCAATAGAAGACAATTCGATGAAAAATGAGACATTCACAAAAGATATACAAATGACCAATAAACATTTGCAAAGATATAGTTGTGATTATTAAAATATAAATTCACTTAAGAGTACTACTGAATTTATAGTAGCTTTTCACCCATGTCTATTTTCCCAATAAACAGAAACAAAAAAAAATTACTATTTTGAAGGGCTCCAAAACAATCTAACATGAAAAATGGTGTCCTCACAATGGAAAAGTTGGGATATAGACCCAAAAGGAGTACTACAGCATCATAGACTCTCAAGGATTATCTGGTTCATTTCTTTACACATCAATGCATACATTCCCTATTTAATATTTCTATAAAGTATTGAATCATTCAGCTGCTTTTGAACATCTCCATCCATAGGCAAGTCATGCAGGAACCCATCTCATGTTTAGTCAGCTAAGAGTATTTCTCCCAAAGTGGAAAAAAAAAAAAAGTATTAGCAAAACAAACTGCATATAGAAATTCAATTAACATGTAAGATTAATACCCAGGTATTAATCTTATAAGCACCCCTTAGTATTACCAGTTGTTATGGTGCCAATTTCACTATAGATGGCATTTGTGGTATGCTGCCTTCCTAATAAAAGCTGTGAAAACTGTTTAAAAATACCTGAAATGAGTTACTAGACAATGTCATTAGCACCAAGTGGATACACACCTAAGTATATGCAAATATACCACAAAAATGATGAGTTCAAGTAGGGCAACCTTTGCAGTGATTATAAGAGGAACTATGTTTAACACTGACAGAAGTATCATTTATAGTCTTCTTTGGTAAAAGAATGAAACTAGGGATTGTTTTAAAATTTTAATGAATGAGTGGTATCACTTATTTTCCTTCCAAATAAATTTATGTATGAATATGTCTCAGCTAAGGCCAGCAAACACGGAGACCTAAAATCACCGTAATTAGAAATGGTCCCCTGAAATTTCATGCTTACAGAATGCTAAGCCTAAAGTAATACATACCTTGAGTAAAATAAAACGCCTCACATCTGGACATATGGAAATAATTTTGCCCTCCTCACCTTATTCATGTTGTTTTCATCAACCACATCCTTGGATATATCCTGGATTATTTCTGGACACAAGATAAGAAGGATGATTTGTAGTGGCCAAACTGCTGCTTTACGTTTGGTGCTTTCAGCAAAACCATCCACCAAGTCAAACAGCTTTTCTGCACACTCTGTGTGAAAAATATAAATATTAAATGATATTATTAGATGAGAAGAAAATCTGTGGCATTAAAAGCATTATCCAAAAATCCAAAGGTCACATTTTTAAAAGATAAACTTTGAAGTTCACTTCAACAATTAAATGAAGTCATTTGGGTAAGCAAACAAGCAATGTTATATTGTGTCTAATAGTATTAGAAGAACTATTTTGACCCATCCTAGAAAAGCCCACATTTTAGAATGTCCAAACTTATGCTTAGCCTCAATGTGCAGGGTCTCATGCAAAGTGTGATATA